TTTAACAAGAAAGCTGCTGTGTCTTCAGGTTATCATTGTCCATGACAAAGCTGCTTTCTACATGATACAGTAAAAACAGCAATGTGCAAAGACTGGGAAAAAACCTGAAGTTTAAGCTCCAGTCCTGCTACAATCCAACTAAATACCTTGGGCAGGTTTCTTCCCTCTAAACTGTTTTCCTCTACTATAAAACTGAAAGATGGCTTTCTCTGAGGACTGAGCTTGGGGAGGAACAGGGAGAAGGGAATTTTCCAGAATCAATCTGCCTAACTGACCTTTTCTCATTCTTCCTGGTCCTTCTAAAATGTACGGAGCTGAGTTTCCTAACTAGACTTCCCTCTTTCTTTCTTCCTCTACTTTTTCCCTGTTGGATGGTACTCAGTGAGGAAACTAACCAGTGCCCTGCTTTGGGCTGCCGCACCAGGCAAAGATCTCACGTCGTAGGCCAAGTTTCACTGTGGTAATTTGCTTATACACAGCGAGGGTTGAGCATGCGCACACACGAACGCACGCACACATACATACACACACAGATAATGGTAGAATTCTCGTCATTGCACACACATACATATGTCTCTGTTTATTCATACAAACTGTCTAGTTCTCTCTGCGAGAAGGTGTGTAAGAGCAATGACAGTTCTTTTTCCTAAATAATACTGTCCACTTAAAATTTTGTTTTGTTTTGTTTTTCTTTCCATAATATGACTGATTCAAGGTTACGATGCAGAAGCACAAGGTAAGCCTGGGACCTCTTGTGCTAGGAAGCAAAGAAGTGATCAAAGAATGATGTCAAAGGGGGCATCTATGGACCAAGTTGATAAAAAGGAATTTGAAATCAGAATAAAAAATCTGGCATCAGAACAAAAATAGAAAAAGAGAATTGAAGAAAAAAACGGAACTAGAGCTTTTGCTTGATTGAAAAGTACAATGAATGTTTAAATTTTTTTATGCCTTTTGGAGACAGGGTTTCATTATGCAGGGAAGGAGAACAAGAGTTGGAAGGAACAGGGAGGGATGGGAGGAGAAGGGGAGACAAAAAAAAGAACTAAGATGTGTTAGGCACAGGCACAGATTCGCTACAATAGAATCATTTTTACTGACAACATGTACTAACAAAAAAGATAGTAATACATTCTAACCTCTGATCACTAGGCATCTGTACGGATATTAACAAATGACTAAAAATATGTGAAGGGTAAAAAGCAAGCTCTATCATGCAACTGAATTCCAATTATAAACCTAGAAAGAGTGATAACATTAGACAACTGTCGGCTGGCATTCCTCATTGTAATAACTGATGGAATCAAGAATCATCCATAAAAGCAAAATCTGGCAGGAGAAGGTTTGATTAGGAGCAGAATAGTTTACAGTTTTAATGCCCCCCCTACAAGGCTCATTAATTGTTCATTAACTGATAATAAGCATAACATATTTATTACTAACTAACCTTAGAGAAACAGCAGACATATCTTAATAAAGAGATAAAGAAGTGAATATTACAGTCATGGAATAAACTGAGACCCGAGGGGATTCACAGAGAAGAGCATAGCATCACTTGTCTGCTGTGTCACAAAGGCTCATAAACTATGACAACGCAAAACAATCACCCAGACCGGGAAACTACCGAGTAACAGGCCTAGATTCTTCCATTTCATCAAAGTCGAGGCAGCAATAAATAACTATTCCAGAGGGAATAAAACTAAAACAACATGACAACTAAAACCAAGAGCAGCCTTGGATCGGATCCTAGACCAAAAGTAAAAGTGATTTGACTAAGTGGTGTGATTTTAATACAGTTGATGAACAACACAGTATTTTAGACTAAATGTACCTGTCCTCCAAATTTTGTACACTGAAGCACTAGCCCCTAGTACAGCTGTGTTTGGGTAAGTACACAGGATTAAAGGTCATAACAGTGGGACTCTCTTTGAAAGAGATTAGTTTCCTTATAAGAAAAGACACCAACAATGTCACTCATGCTTTTCAGATAGGTGAGGACACAACAAGATGGCAGACAAAGGAGAACCCAACCAGGAACTGAATCTGCCAGCACCTTGAATTTAGATGCCCCAGCTTCCAGAAATGTGAGCAATAACTCTCTTGTTTACGCAAACCAGTCTGGGTATTTTGTTATGGTGGTCCTAGGTGACTACACAGGATTATAGTAGTCATCAATTATTAACATTGATTTTGATGCCTATATGGTGATTAGCATAGGGATGGTATCCTTGAAAGGTTCCAAAACCTTAAAAATTCAAGATTGTAGGGGAAGTATATACAGGAAACTTGTGCATTATTTCTGTGACTTTTACACAAATTTGAAAATTGTTTCAAATAAAAAAGTGACAAGCTACATAATGTTCTACCTGTTAAGTTTTGTGGCACAATAGAGAAGCAGAAGGAAAGAGAAATTAAAAGTGGCCTTTTATTGAGGACTCAGAAAAGAGCCTGCAATCCACAGGGGATAGGCTATCTCCTCCTACTGGATACAGAGGGGCAGAGGGTGATGTGACTTCTGATCAGAAGTGGCGCATGGGACACGCACTGATGATATGTAAAGAACTGATTGGAATTTTCTTCACATGCAAATGGGAAAGGAAGTTGCAATTTGGGCCAAAGGGGAAGAAGGAGAACGTGGCCATCAGGGTAAACGCTTCTGCTTTGGCCTTCCATCATGTTATACCACCAGCATAATTGTACAATAATTTACACTACGGCAAAAACCTTTCACTACCCACAAAATTCTCCCATATAGGTGAAATACCAAAATATTTCAATTATCATCTAGAAGTATTTCATAAACATGAATTGTCATGTTATATTATGACTGTATGATACACATTTTCTTTTATTAAAGGAGAAAGCTGCAAAGACCAATGCCTCTGTATTGCTCTCAACATTATAGTACCTAAGGAAGGAATAGTTTCGTTTTACAATTACAAAAAAAAGTACAATACTAGAAAATTAAAACAAAGATACTATTATTAACATATTTATCCTACTGTGTACCTCAAACTGCATGGAAAAGGAGTCTAGAGGAAAAAAATAGAAGAAATGATTGCTGGCTTCAAGAACACTAACATTTAAAAAGGATGTAAGTCTATGCTGTAGGGAAACTCAAAGATAAGCCATCTTGTCCTGAAAGAGCTGACAATTTGCTGTAAGAACCAACACACATTTTCTAATACTGTCATTACAATAGAAATAAATCCAGAGTAAAAAGGAGTTCAGAGTACTTGTGTTGCATTGCCTCTGCAATTCTGTGGCCTTGTCACAAGGTAATCAATTACTTGCTCAAGGTGACTATCATAACTCAATCGACTACTACAATTACCTCTTACCTGTCCCACTTCCATTCTTGCCCCCATCTCTTAATCCAGTCTCACCAAATAACCAATTTCTCAGTGTAGCCAGGATCAGATCAATCACTCCTGTGCTTCAAATACTCTCAGTGGCTTCCCTTGGATAATGGCTTGAAAGGCTTTGTATTTTCAAGCCTCATTCTGACCCGGTTTCCTTTCACTGCTCACCCTGCTCACTATTCTGGGAACAAGCTGGCCTCCTTTTGTTCTCTAATCTTGCTCTTCACCGCCTCTGGGCTTTAAGTATGACCAACCTGGACTTGTCATTGCATGTGTAGGTTCTTATCAAGGTTCAGAAGTAGGCTCAAAAGTCACCTTTTTAGTACAACCTTACTTTTACCTCTTCAGAAAGATCAAACTTTACTACTGCTCTGACTTGTCACACTAGATTACTTAATACCAAGTCCCCTGTCCTCATTGCACTGACTTTTTCTGAAAGTGTTTTTAAGCATCTGTTACTTGATCTCCTGAAGTCAGTAAAAAGAATGCTGCATAGAGAAATGATCTTGTCTGACTTGTTCTGTGCAATAGTCCCTGTAGATTGAAGTATCTGACCCATGTTCAGGCTATATTAAACAAATACATGTTGAATGACTGTTTCTCAGGACCTCACGTTTCCTCATCCATGAAATGAGGATAATCAGACTGCCGTAACTATTAGAAGCAATACAACCTTCTTCTCAATTCCTATGGTGCTTCAGGCACTGTGAAAAATCACTTTATATGCATATCATCACTAATACTATGATTCTCATTTTACAAATAAGGCCACGAGGTCTTAGAGAAGTCAAATAACTGGTTTAAGGTCAGGGGCATGGTGAGGGGGAAGCCAAAAATACTTGAGAACCTGAGCTCTTAACTACTACCATAGTTTTTAGGAAGATGCTTCTATGTCAGCAAATTGGGCTATGATGTCTATTTCCTACCCCAGTTCTACTTTGTCCTATGGGACAGTTGGGAAAAAAAAGCCTTTTGGCCCTCCCCACCATGGCCGTCACCATCTCCTTCAATTCTTTAAGTGACCTTCAAACCCTGATCCCTGTCTTCTGAACAAACTTCTATTTGCCACATCTCTCCAGATGTGATTCTTTTTTTTTTAATTTTTTTATTTTAAAGATAAAATTCAAGAAGCAAACAAACAAAACAACAACAAAAGCAAAATAACGACGACAAAAGACACAACAGCGATACAGGATTTCAAAACAAGACGACAGGAATTTAACAATGGTTTTTATATTGCAGATCGTTATCCTCAAAGTACTTGCTCAGGCTACCAGATACAGGCACGAAGATTTCCTTTGGGCAAGGGTAAGGGGGCGTCAGAGCAATGGAATCTCAGGTCTAAGAAAATGCAGATGTCGAATGTTGGAGAAGTTAGCACAGGTGAGCTTCCGGACAGAGGCGATCCCTGGGCAAATACTGGGGAAGGGGGGACACCGGCCAGCGAACTCCACTTAGAAGTCCCGCGGGAGATGTGCCTCTGGGGCCGCTAGGTCGAGACAAAGGACGACATTGAGGAAGACAGGAGTACAGTCCCAAGTGATGCCACTCTTGCAGGCGGAGGAGCGAACCGCGTTTTCCTCACACACAAGCGGCTGTGGAGAGAAGAAATAGTCAAGAAGCAAAACGCGAACTTACCCGCTTTCTGGCAACCCGGCCTCCGTAGCCCGACTATAAACGTTGCCACCTGAGGAGTCTGGTAGCCAAGGCAGCGGCAAGCTGAACGCAGGTTACGCGAGATGTAACAGATCTCGCGAGAGCGAAACTCTCGTCCCTGACAGGCGGGCGTTCAGTCCCGGGGCCATGGGAGGAGGGGTCTGGGGTCTGAAATGGAAACGTGTTGTTTTCTGTGGCTGGAGTTGGGGTCACCTCGGCTCCTTGACCAGGACTGCGGAACAGATAGAGCCGTTTCTTCTGCCGGGATGGAGAGGGACGGGAGTTGCTGACAGAGGACTGAGGCGGCTTGGGACATGGAAACGTCCGAGCCCGGCCCGGGGTCCGACCGCGGAGCAGCAGTGGCGGCCGAAAAGCACGAACCCTTTCACGCGTGCACAGGAAGAGGACTGGCGGCGAAGGAACAAGACGGTGCTCACATACGTGGCCGCGGCCGCGGTGGGCATGCTGGGGGCCTCCTACGCCGCGGTGCCCCTGTATCGGCTCTACTGCCAGGTAGGCGAGGTGCAGTCAGGAGTGGTGCGGTGCAGGACAGACTCCGGAGGATGCCTCCGGTTATCCCCCAAGGAGGAAGCGCGCTCAGGCTGTGATTTGCCCAAAGTCACCAAAGAAGTGAGTGGAAAGGCTGCAGGTGGATCGCCTAGGCCCCATAGTGATCAAGTTTGCACCACGCTGCAGAGTGAAATTCCCTGATCTGAACTACACCTCCAAGAAGATCTGCGGCCACGCGGATAATGTACATTCATTCTGCGAGCCACATGTGGTTTGTGTAGAAAAGTTAACCCTGGAAATGGAAATTCTGTACTACGACTTATGCTACAGAGATTAGCCTCTGGGTGGGCCATTTCATCCAGAGGCATGAATCAACTGTCACTGTTAATATATAACTATTATGTACTTACACTGGGCACTCTTTTAGATCAGAAGTTGTAATGCAGCGGTTCTGACTGTAGCGCCCAGATCAGCGTCATTAATATGACGTAGGAATCTGTATTAAGATAGTTCAGATTCTTGGGTTTAGCTCTAGAATTACTGAATTAGAAATCATAGAAGCCGGGAACCAGCAGCTTCTTTTTCAATAAGTAATACAGCTGATTTAGAGGCAGACTGATGTTTTAGAAACACTGACAAGTCTATCTTCCCCAACTTTATGGATTTTTCCTCTGTTCTTTACTGATAGTTTGGGGCTTTGGCTGGGCACTGGATCACCTGTGGAGTTTCATGCACAGGGCTCATCTTTCCAAGAAACTGTGATTAGGAAGCCTCGGACATCGACTGGGAATTGCAGTTTGTGAGAGCTAAATATTGTGTTCACTCTTGAGTGTTGAAGATAGTGATTCCTATTATTCCACACCGGAGTCACCCAGAGCGCTTGCAAAAATCTTTATGCCCAAGTAGGCATGGTGACACATGCCTGTAATCCCAGCACTGAGGGAGGGTGAGGCAGGAGGATGCAGATTCAAGGCCTCCTTCGTAATATATTATCTCGGAATTTAAAAATGAAAAGGGCTAAGGATGTAGATGTAGTTCAGTGCGAAGGCTTTGGGCTCAGTCCCTAGTTGCCGCACCCCTCAAAGGTCCTGATGCCAGTTTATAACCTTATCATGTAAGTGTATAACCAGTTTATAACCTTACTGTGTAAATCACAATGTTGAGTATGGGAGCCTGGCATCTGTAATTTTCTAAGATTTCTCAATTCGCAGCAAAGCTAGGAAATTAATGGATTTTCCCTGTGACTGGTATTTATAACAGACTACTCTTTTCTGCCACCATTGTGGATGCCTGGCCCATTTCCCATGTCTTTATAGAGACTAGCTTACCTTTCTTTTGGATGGTTAAGTAGCAGAAGTGAAAAAGGCTTGTAAGTGTTCTAGTGTCAGTATGTATGTGGAATATGCAAGACCTTGATTTCAGGAGGATGAGTGTGGAATGTGTTTTTTCATTGGAGGCCAGATAGGACCAACTATTGACTCCAAAACTTCTAGTTGGTTATTTGGATCATAAGTAAGTCTGAATCCACATCAAGTGTAGATCTCACTGAAAACACTGTGGGCTGCAGGGAGTGATTTTTGTCCTCCAGGAAACATTTCACAATGATTGAAGATAGTCTAGGTTGACACAGCCTAGGGAAACGGCTGTAAGGTGCTACTGGCATCTAGTCTGGGTAGAGGTGCCGCTTAGTATTCAGCATTGCAAAGGATATACCACTACCCTCCCAACAAAGAATTATCCAACTAAATATCAATACTGCTGAGGCTGAGAAACCTTGCTCCAAACTACAAATGGCAATATCATATGTGTTTGTGTATGTTTCCATATTACAAAAAATGTAATTTGTAATCCAAAAAATCAGATTAGATGCTTTAATAATGATATTTCCAAAAACAAACCACTTCATGCAGTGATTTCAGTTTATCCACATGTAAAATGTAGCCCAAAGCAAATAAAATTTATTCAGTCAGTGGTCAGAGCTCTTTTTTTTTTTTTTTTTTTTTTTTTTGGTCAACTTTAATTTCTTGAAACACTTAGAAATTTGAAGACTATATTCAAAAGCATATATTAGGGAAACTTGAAGGAGAACAGTTACACATTTCCTTATTCAAGTGGCTCAGATTCTTAGGAAAAGAAATTCTATCTTGAAACACATACATTATAGCCTGCTTAGGTAGAGGCCTACTTGCCTATTAAATAAGGATTAAGACTTATTTGTGTTCTGCTGCTTCCAGGGTTATAATGTGATTCAGTAGTGTTGCATGGCAGTTAAGTGAAGCAAGGTGACTTGTGCAATGAGTAAGACAATGATACCGTATTTTATTGAGAGTCTTCCCTTGCCTCAATTTTTTTTCCCCTTGAAGCTTGATAACAGGTGAATTATCTGGCAACTAAAAACTGGCAATCTAGCATCACAGAATGACTTTAGGACTTTTTTAAAAAAAAGTATCTAATGATAAATAATAGTAATGAAGATGCACATCAAGTGTACAAATTATTAATACAAATTATTAATAGCTTGTGATAGGTAATAGCCAAAGAAGAACATAAAACATTCACCTATATAGGAAAATCCTTGTCATGCAGAGTGTCAGAGTGCAACTACAAAGTTTGGGTTATAAAAGCTATGAAAAAGCAAAGAACCAGACAGGAACATGGAAAAGTGGATAGATACATTTAAGCATTTTCATTGAAATGATCAAGTTATGAATAAATGTTTGTTGTTTTGATTTTTTTTTTTTTTTTTTTTTTTTTTTTTGGTGGTGTTGGGGATTGAACTCAGGCCCTTTGCAGTGAGCTACATCCCAGTACTTTTTAAAATTTTTTATTTGGAGGAAGGGTCTCCTTAAGTCTCTTTAAATTGCCCTCTTCTATTTTTTATTTTGAGAAAGTGACTCACTGAGTCTATAAGTTGCCCAGGCTGGGTTCAAACCTGGAATGCTCCTGCCTCAGCTGCCCCAGAGTGGGGGGATTACAAGCATGCACCTACACTCTTAATGAGTAATCATATAAGATACTAGCACTAAAAAGAATGTTTTATAAAAAGCTATTCCTTGAAATTCTGCATTGTTATCGATGATAAATTATCTAAAGACTGATTCTTTTTAATGACTAGTTTCTAACTCATTTTAACCAAGAGATTGCTGAAAAGTAGAAATCATTTTAACAAATATAGGCTCTTTACACCAGGGGTAAACCACTGACAGTTATAGGAAATGGTCAGTGATAGTATGTAAAATTAGCTCCAACTGGATTATTTTTAAAATCTTATCCAGTAAATAGATCAATGCCTAAAAGTTTTTACATATTCAGTATCTTTTTTCTAGACTACTGGACTTGGAGGATCAGCAGTAGCAGGTCATGGATCAGACCAGATTGAAAGCATGGTGCCTGTTAAAGACCGAATCATCAAGGTGACCTTCAATGCAGATGTCCACGCCAGTCTCCAATGGAACTTTAGACCTCAGCAATCAGAAATATATGTGAGTAACCAAAGCAGTCATTAGAAGATGATGCATCAGTGTAAAAAACTTTTCATCAAAAACTGTTTCACTGGGGCCAGGAATTTAGCTCAGTGGCATAAGCACCTGCCTTGCAAGCGCGTGATTATGTTTGATCCCTGGTACAAAAAAAAAAAAAAAACTGTTTCACTCATTGAAACCTAATTTCAAAATATTCCATCTCATGAATCTTATGAATTATTCATGAATCTTAGTGTTTGGAAATAACTGTTGTTTGATAGGGCCCTGATGTTACAGAATATATCCATTAACCTAATGTAAAACATTATATGCTTTAAGTTTTTAAGTTGTGTGATAGTAAATGCCAGTTTAAAACTGAAAAAAAATCATCTATTGTAGTTTCCCTGATTTCTCAGGTATAGATGATATATGAAGAATGTTAAAAATCTTCAGAAGGGGAGGAAAATGGGGGAGAAAAGAATTAAAATGTATTATGTACAGGTGTAAATTAATAAAAGTATCCCTGTCCCCTCAAAAAGAAAAAAATTTTTGAAACTTTTTAAGGAAATAATTCCTTACCTAGTATTAGTTTCACATTATACTCCAGGAAGACCCTAATCTGTAATTTTGATTGATTATAATCCTGGGAGGATTTTTCACTGCAATATTCTCATTAACTGAGGATTAGCCAAGAAATATTAATTTCAGCTTTTACTAATAAACCCCTGTAAGTTATACTACTTGTCCCTTAACATAATCTGTGAGTCTTTGATGTTTGATTTTATGGATTGTGATTTTGCTCATTCTAATTACCTGGTAGCGTATAAGTATTAACAGTGAATTAGTATAAATAACAATATTCTTTAGAATTTTTTTCAACCCTTTCATTTTTCTCAAAGCTTAACTATTTTTGGCTAAATATTTTATTCAGTCAGGTTTACTCTGGTTATAAATTTAATTTACTCTGATCAAGGTAAGTTTGATATTACTATCCTTTTAATAGTCCAGCATAACGATTTGTGGCAGTACCTATAATCTCAGCACTCTGGTAGGCTAAGGCAGGATTGCCCTCGCCTGGGCAATTCAATAACTTACTGAGACCCTGTCTCAAAACAGAGCTAGGGATGTAGCTTAGTATAAAGGCCGTAGGTTCAGTCCCCTGTACAGCAGGGAGAAAAGGTCAATCATGATAGTTTGGTTAAAGTGTTATAAAGAAGTTAGGCATGGCTTATGTTATGCTTGGCTTGTCTTTGGACACATTTTAAGTAACTTGCAAATTATTGTTTGAAGACCTCAGATGTACAAGAGGTTATCTATATATCTATAACTATGCATAAAAGAACACTTTGTTTCTTCATTGACATGTGTATAAAATTTGAAACTCCACCTTGGGTAATATTCAGGATTTATTTTGTTGAACTTTCTATTAGTTTAGATTATGTGTTATAGTCTGATGAATTGGAAAAATAATATGGCTGTCATTTAGTGGAGAAGAAAAACTCAGCTGTGTGGCATCTGAAGTGCTGATAATGGGTGTATGTTTAAAACAGGTGGTGCCAGGAGAGACTGCGCTGGCATTTTATAAAGCCAGGAATCCTACCGACAAACCAGTAATTGGAATTTCTACATATAATGTGGTACCATTTGAAGCTGGACAGTATTTTAATAAAATACAGGTAAACACAATGAATGTAAGCATTAATGTTGCAAACTTTAAAGTAAAATGAAAATGGGGGAAGATACCTAGAAACACAGGGAAAGTAGGACAAAGGGAAGAAAAAAATCAAGATGTGTTAAGTATATATACTTCCTAAGATGAATTGCAAATGTGTAGTAATAAAAATTTTAAAAATACACTGGTATATCGAATGTAAACTACTTAGAATGAAACGTACTAGAATGTCTTAGTAGATACTTATGACTTCTGAAAATTTCAAGCCATTTTTATCTTGTTTATATTTGCTATGTAGACACTGAGAGCTAAGCCAAATGATTTCTGCTTTAAGATTAGAATGGGGGCCAGGGATATAGTTCAGTGACCCAAGTGCGTGTTTGGCAAGTCAAGGTCGTGAGTTTGACGCCCAGTACCAAAAAACTAAAAGAGAATAGACTTTCAGTCCTTAAAGCAGAACTCAGTCTGAGATGAATGCTGTTATTCTATCACAGAATTTAACCTCAAAAAATGAACTATTACTTTGTTCCAGGTAATAGAAATGTTACTAAACAAGTACCTTTCTGTTACTTCCAGTGCTTCTGTTTTGAAGAACAAAGACTTAACCCCCAAGAAGAAGTGGATATGCCAGTGTTTTTCTACATTGATCCTGAATTTGCAGAAGATCCAAGAATGGTGAACGTTGATCTTATCACTCTTTCTTACACTTTTTTTGAAGCCAAGGAAGGGCAGAAGTTGCCACTTCCAGGTTATAACTGAAGTAGTGTCCAAGTCCTGCTTCAGATTTGTGATTTTTGAAAAATCATGTGTCTTGAATTCTCATTGGAGGAACATTCTACAGCGTGAACTGAAACTTTCTGTTTTAAGTGGTTCTCCTTTTTTTTTCCTCCAGTGAATTTATATCACTCAAAATTGAGAGAACAGAATCAGCTTTTATCATAAACTGATAAGCTTCTATAAAGCATGTGATGGTTTGATAATGTACGTAAAAATTTGATGGTTTAAAATAAAGCTGGTGGAAACAATGTAGGAGTTACTAAGTTCTAATGACTTGCTCAAAGATTATAAGCTTATTTCAGATCTAATAATGTTTTTCTTTAAGATCTGAGGCTATTGTACATTCAAAATAATGAATATTTTAATTACTTTGAAACTGGTATCATAGAATCGAAATAAAACACAAGTACATCTACTAGTTTGCTAGCATTTACCATCATAGTTCTAATTCACTGAATGTTAAAGTGTATGGATAGAATTGTGAAAGTTTACTAATATATAAGGAAAACTTCCTCTGCAAACAAAATTCTTTAAAAAAATTTTATTATTTTAATGTTTTCAATTACACATTTAATATTTGTCATTGTAATTTATGTAAGTGAATACAGTTCATTCAGAAGGTTTAGCAGTATTTTTCCAAATAGAAATATTAATTATAGTAAAAAGGTAAACATTTAGCATTATAAAGAATCATAATTCAAGGCCATGTGATGCAAAGTCTAGTGACCTCTTCAGGACACTTGAAATATAATTAAACTACAATCATCAAGTCTTTATTACAGTTCTAAAAAAAAGTGTCATTTATAAAGAAGTGCAAATTGACTTCGACATTCAATTTTAGTTAAATGAAGGCACTCAGTAGTAGTCTTCCTGAATAATTTAGTTTCTCACATTTACTGCTTACATCTTCATCTACGTTTATCACAGCTATGTGATGATTTTTCTGTATAGGAAGTCCTGTGCTTCATAAGGTACTGTGATTAAACTGGTTGACCTAAATACTAACTAATTTTTCTTCCGTTCAAGTGTTGAGTCAATATTTATTATACTCGTGTTCTACTGAAGTAAATCTTGAGTGTTGTGAGGAACCATCTGTTACCCGGGAACGGTTACACTAGTGTTTACACTTCAAGTCAGGTGTGGCTTTCACATGTTGGTAGGTCTTGTCTTCCAGGCCTCAGAGCTGGACAGGGACTACTCTTTAGGAAGCTGGTACCCCTCTGGTACTAGTGAGATGATGATCATCACTTTAACCTAAAATAAAAAGAGGAAATGGGCCAATCTCCATCCTGTTCTTTTGCACTCCTTAGTAACTCTTCCTTGTATTTCTCTATTCGGAACTTAGAAAGCCATCATTACATGGAAAAAAGATGGGAATGTGCTTTTCTCTCCCATGGAGGAAGATGTGAAATGAATAAATAAAATTAATAGATCACTGGTGAATATTGGTAAATAAATGAGATGGCTAGTACAAAACAATGGGAAAACTCAGACTAATTTGGAGGACTAATAATAGATTCTGTTGGTGCTGTTCAACAGATATTAACTTCATATTAAAGCCAGATGTCAGATTTCCATACTAAGGACTTCTATTCATGTGGTTTTGTTCATGTTAATATTTCTGTACCATAAACCAAATTGTACATTCCCAAGCTTCATTATTTTTAGCTGATAAGATCATAAAGGTTTTTTATTAGTTCACAATAATTCACGACAGTTTGATTCTGTGAAACAGCCTCACTAATCTGAGTTTCAGATTCAGATGTCCCTTATAAATCAAAAATACTGAGTATAGAACGTGATAATTTACTGAATGAAATTATTTGGACTGAAATGTAAGGTGTGTAAGTTGAAGTTTTTACCTCTGTAGTCACTATTACTTTGAGCTCCTTTGTAGAGATGAACATCAATTTCTTCATAAACAGGCCTAAAACAAATGAATGGTTATGTATCAGTTTCAGTGTTCTGGGATGCTTTGTAACTGCCAGCATCATAAATAAAAATTTAAGGTTGTATGGAGAGGTCAGGTGACATCAGTGAACATAAAAGTCTGTGTCCAGAAGCTTGGATTCCAGCTTTGTTAAACTGTGGTATTACAATCTCCCTGACTGTTAAAAATATGTACCTTTCAAGAAAGATTTATTTTTACTTTTGATTTAAAGGAAAAAATGCTCAAATTTGGACAGTGTCTTTGATAAACTACCTTTCTTGTATAACATTCTTGAGTTCATTATATTCGTATTTCTCTTACATAGGTCTGTAGATGGAAAATAGCTATACCTAAAAATAGGCATTTTACACACTTGTATACAAGGCATGACTGGAAAAAGTCTTATAAAAATTATAGCACTATAAAAATATAGTCACCAACTTTGTAAGACATCAGCATTATCTGCAGTTTACTATGAATCTTACTAAAGTTTTATCATTCTCCATGAAGTGATTACAACTTTCATCTTAAACCACTGATCTCTCTCAGAAAGAAGCTTACCTCTCAATAAATTAAAACACCTTAATGTGAAAAAAAATCTCATTTTACTATCACCAAATTTTCAAGTCAGTTTTCCTCTGCACATTGTCTACCTTTGACTTCTCAAACACTTAAACGTTCCTGAATCATCAGCCTCTACCTCTAACTAGATCCTAACCTTCAAATTTCAGATGGTCCAGTGTGTCCCATTTCATGTTCAAACAGTACATTCCTTCAGTCTGTGTCTTCCTGTAGTAATCACCTCAGTAATCTGCCAGTTGCCAAAGCACTTCCTATCATCTCTTTATGTTTACGTGCTAGTTAAGGTGACATCTGTACTTACTGCTGCTACTTCAGTCACTTTTAAATGAAGTGAAATTTGGCTTCTGTCCTCATCATTCACCAAAACAGCTTTTACTACAATCACCAATGACTTCCATGTTACTAGCTATGTTCAGTTCTCAACCTACTTGTCCTCTCTCAGCAATGTTTATCACAGTTGTGGATTCATGTCTTGCTTCTAAATTAGTTTCCACATCTGGTACCAGGTTTCCTGTTACTTTCTTTGCTCTCAGTTTTACCATTTCCAGTTCTTTAATGTGCCAACACTCTTCCATCTGGGTCTCTGTTAAAGTTGTTTCCTGAGCCTACCATACTCTTTCCCAAACTTGTCACTCGACTGACAATTCCCATCAACCTTTCTCTAATCCCACTTGAATTAGTTCTGTTATACATTCTCAAGTCATTGTATTCTTTTATACTATTAACACAAAATTGTATTTTTGCCTGCCAACTTTTTTGTTGTTGTGTGTGTTTTGTTTTTTTTAAACAGGTTCTCAGACTCCTTGAACACACTATGTGGCCCAGGCTGATCTCAAGGCAGTCCTGCCTCCATCTCCCAAAGTTCTGGGATTATAGGCGTGCCCCACTATGCCCAAATCAGTTTGCTTACTTTCGGTCTCCACGCTGTATTTTACCTCTGTGATGACAGGAGTACAATGTGTCTCTTCACCATTATAAGTTAGGCAAGAATCACAGTAAGTGTTTAATAAGTGAATTATGTGTGTGCTCATTAATACTGGTGAAGAAAACCTAAAACTTTTTCTTCTACATGATTCTGTGCTTTTCCTTGGAAGCTTTCAATATTTCACAAGACTAGAGGGGGAAAAGGCACAGTGGTAGAGTTCTAAAGCTTAACTTCTGAGCATCTCTGCTGTCTTACTGTTAGTACCTGTGATACAGCAATATCTACTACAGCTATCTCCTAATTCACTTGAACACAGTAGCTTTCCATTATCTACCTGGATACAGAAACATAAACACATTAAGTTCTAAAAAGCATACCTGTTTAATACCACTTACTTAAGCCACTGATAAATTCAGTGATAAATCAACTATCAAACACTGACCTAAGCAAGTTTCCTTATTCTAAATTAGGAAAAATACCTAACTTAAATCTATTAAACTATTCCAAAACTGATGACTACAGGGAGGACTTAAACTAGGAGTCAAAACATCAACTGCCCACACATGACAGGCAGTGGATAGATGGAGGCTACGGTGGACGTGGTACACCGCAGAAAACCCCTGTGTACAGACAATAGCTACTACTCATCCCAAGCACTGCTGGCATGGAAAATACAGTTCTGCTGCTGCCAGTCCATACAAAGATGGATAAGTCCAGACTTCCCCATTTGTAACTGTTGGCAGTTGTTAGGATTACACATTTTAAATTCTACAAAATGAACCAAAACACAACTGTGGGCAAGATCCATTTCTAACTTGCTGTCATCATCTTTAACCATCTGAAGGTTAGCCTTCAGCCACTCCAAGTATATTAAAATGCGGCTAAGCCTGGTAGCCACATATTTGACTGATAAGAAATCATGAAATAATGGCACTTGAAAGATTTCAAGTTAAAAAGCAATTTCTACACTAATACTTTATTATTCCATTTTAAATACACTGTTGGTGGTGCAACTAAAAAGTTCTTATTCATAAGTTTCCCTTTGATTTAGTTCTTAAAGGATAGTTAAAATGTCCTTTCATTGTGGCATTAACTTACTTCCACAGTCAGGGAACAGGGCACTTCTCAAGTTAGAGGCAACATGATTTTTCTGCCAAGACATCTCTAAAGAACCCATTAATACACACAGCGGCTCCAATTGTTTTTAAATGTGCAACCCCAGCATTTTTTGTCAGTCACAAGCCAGGAAGGGTAAGACCATTAAGAGCACAACCATCCTAAAACTGCATGAATCATTTGTAATAAGCCCATCCGTTTCTGCTGAGACCTAAACAAAGTGAAATGTATAACCAAGCCCTGGAAGCTTTTCTGTCAAAGGTAACCGTGACACAAATGAATCATCTTATAAACAACTTACTCTGCGGTGGCAGCAGGAGCTAAGGGATCAAACTCCATTACCTCGTAGTAATTGGGTCCCTGGAGATCATTCTTTGTCATCGCTTTAGGTGAAAAGAGACCATAAACACACATGCTTATCAAGGAGTGTATACAGTGCTTTCTTATTTTCAATGTGATAATACTTAATTTAATTTAGATTTCAAATACAAGATTCTATGAAATAAAACCAAAACAAGCAGACTGGTGTTCTGATGCTTCTGCCTCGTTGATTAAATTCATGTGTAATGATTTCCAAACTTCAACTAAAGGTCCATTTACCTTAGTACTTCTTAGTGTAAATACCTGTATTTACACCAAGTAATTCAGTTCAAAGCTGGCCTTTGGAGACCTAACAAAAATCTTAGTAGTATCATCTTTGAATACTTTGTGTAGGTTGGAAATGCAAGGGAACTCCTCTAAGTTCTATTTTCAATCACTAATAAATCACAGATAATTTCACACATTCTACGTTTCCTTACAGGATGCAAGTAATAGATCTCATGTACCTGGATGATTATTAAGCAAAGATGGTGGCCTCTGGTTTGGTGGTGTCGTGGTGGTCTGCAGACTGATCGGCTGTAGTAATACTGAACTTGAGTGCTGTGGCAACTGAAGAAAGCATAACACATGTTCAAACACACACTGTACACGAGACTTTAAAAATTATAACTCTAGGCTTCCAAGTCCCCTGTTCCAAGAACCATATACTCTCAATTGGATAAGAAAGAGCAATTTTAAACTATTACTTTAAAAACTAAGGTTTAAAAACTAAAGTTTAAAAACTACTTCCTGTAAGGTTTACTGCTTCACTGCCTAGTTTTTATTTTTTCTGTTTTAGGCATTCATATTCTGCCTCAGTTCACATGCATGCTGTAAAATTGTACGGCATGGTCCACATTCTCTGTTTCCCTCAGAACGAGAATACCTCAAAATAGGAAACAAACACCAAAAATTTAAATCTATAAAGAGGTGCACAACAGAACTAGTAAGATAAAGGTTTAACTTGGTGAGAAGTATTTATTATGATTTCCTCACATGTTCTACAAATATGTTCTTACTAGCTGCAAAGCAATATTAGTAAAGCAATAAAAAAACCAGATCAAATCCTTGCTCTCATTCAATGAAAATTAACAAATATGTCGATGTTGGATAGTACAAGCTACAATTTTAAAAAAAGCAGGAAAAAAGGGAGAAGAGTTGAGGTGTGGGTTTCTGTCCTAATAGGCAGTGGTCAGGAACTATTTCCCTACCGGCAACATCCGGACTTTCTGAAATGACGCCTGTGATTATCAGACACAACACAAGTTCCCAGGCTAGAGTGAGAGGCCAGTGTGCTTGGAACAGTGAGGCAAAGCAGAGAGGTGAGGGCTGAAGCTGAAAAGCAATGAGCAGAGTCGCATCAGCATTTCAAGCTTTTATTACGCAAAACAGGAAGGAAGAAAATTACAGGTGGCTTTTGAGCAGACAAGTGATGCACCTTTCCTTAAGATTAGTTTGGTTCTAGTTTTACAAACAGACCAAAGGGAATGACGGAAAACCAGTGGTGAAAAATGGCAACTCTTTAAGAGGATAGTACAGTTGCCGTCTGATGGTGGCTTGGCCTGGGAAGCAGAAGGGGAGGTGGGAAGAAGCGGCTGGAAGCAGGGTTATTTTGAAGGTAAGCGGAGGTCAAGCCATGGTTCCCAAGATTTCCTGTAGGAATTCAAAGAGTGGAGTGACCATTTATCAAGGTGGAAAGTCTGTAAGAAGAGCAGGCTGAGAGCAAGGACTGGGATGTAATCAAGAGGTGGGACTGAGTGGAAAATAGAAACCTTGAGTTATGGGTTTAGGACAAAGATCTGAACTGGGAATGTGAACTTGGAGGTATATAAATGCTTATCTCAAAATGTGAGACCCAAAGACCATGGATTAGTGAATATAAAAGAGTGGGAAATCTAAGCCCCGAGGTTGCTGACGCTGAAAGGGAAGGCTTACGGGAAATGGAGGTGAGGGAGGAGAAGAACTGAAAGTGACTGATGTCTGAAAGGTATGTTTGCAAAGCAGAAGAAATGGCCATCTTTGTTACATGCTGCTAGTAAACTAGGTAAGACAAAGACAGAATTGTAGGGTTCATTTCTCCCCCACCTTCCTTCCCTCCTTCTCTCAATTCCTCTTTGCATGTAGTGCTAAGAGTTGGAACCCAGGACCTCATCCATGCTAAACAAATGCTCCACCCCAGGGCAGACCTTCCCCTCTGGCCTAGGAATTATGATCTTTACCCATTTTTTAATATTAGTAAAACAACCAATCTCCTAAGACTAAAAAGGACACAAAACCCCTAACCAGGGCAGTAGCAATACAGTATAAAGAAATGCTGAGTGAATTCATGACCAAGAGTTCTTTTTGATCAAGATAATGTGCTAGGAGCAGTGCCAGGAAAGGGTTTAGTTACTTACATTAGCATATGTATGACTTGAAGTGAGGTTTGGGCTGGTCCTTTGGGCAAACCTAGGATAGTGTGATAACACAGCATGATTACCCTACAGTGAGAACACAAATGCAGAATGTAAGATGATATTCCTGGTCTAAAATCCAAACCTGTTAACACACCTTCAGGTTACACAAGAGTGGTAACTACTATAACCATGGCCATCTGGTTTCAGTGTCCTCCAGTTCATGTTACACAAGTATCAAAGAGCAAAGACATAATATTGGTGGTACAGGGGTCGTCCTAAGACCAAAGAGTGTGTACAGAACAGTAAGTAATAAGCACTTTCATTTTCATACAAGGAGCAGCAAAGAGGAATCCAGATGCTCAGAGACAGTGGAAATCGTACTTCATCCTCTTCTTTCTGTATTCACTTCCCAAACTACAGTAAACCCAAGGTGGCTATGGGGACAGCAACAGTGGTCTGCAAGAGATGAGTACCCTGAGAGGAATCTTCCTCATCAGGAGCTGTGACCACAAAAGAATGGGGAGAAGCCCTGTTTTCTTTCTTCAGGCTTTGTCGTTGGGTCAGACATCAGCACTGTCCAGGAAATACATGGTATAATAGGTAACTAAGGCTTTGGTTTGTGATTGGACATTTGAGAAATAAGCAACCAAGAAACCAAAAAGTACCAGAGAAATCATAAAAGTTGAAGAATTCAATGGTTGTATTGCTGTGTATGAAATCCTTGGCTTCACCTGTTATGTCTATGAATTGGATCTCAGTAGAGAAGTCAAAAATGCTGAACACAAACCTAACTGGGTGCCACACAGGTAGGACAGATTTGAATAGAACTTCATAGCCTCTGAACATTGGACTGACACTGGAACCACAACCAACAGAAGGGCTGAAACTGCAGCATGCATCTAACCAACTTGTTAGCCTACTATTATCAAAACAGCATTTGGGACAAGATTTAACTAAGACCAATTACGTCAAAATAAAACATTAGAAATGCCCAAGATATAATCCAAAAGTACCAGGCCTATGGAGAACAACAAAAGTTTTAACTTGCATTAAGAAGACAACAGATACACATGTCAAGAATATGTAGGTGTTAGAATTCAGAAATAAGTGGGAATACTACTGAAAAAATAGTAAGTCTCACCAAAGGAACGGAATACTGTACTTGAAGAACCAAATGGAAATTCTAAAATTAAAATTAGGAAAAACAAACCTTATAGAATGAGCTCAATAGCAAAATGGAAAAGATAGGAGCAAAGTGAATTTGAACTGAGCAACTATCAGAAATTGTCCAAACCTCACAGAAGAGAGAAAAAAAGGTTTTTAATAAGGCAATTAACAGAACCCCCAAACACCTCAGATAATGAATACCTGAGGTTCAAACAGCTGTGTTTCAAAGATTGGTGAAACACATAAACCCACAGATTCTTTCTTTATATGCCTAGTAATTTTGGATTATATCTTGGGCATTTCTAGTGTTTGGCTTGGATTAAATGGTCAATCTCCCCAAATATATCCAAGTCATAATTCCCAGAATCTCTGAGTACTACTTAACTTAAAACACAAAAAAAGGATCTCTTTCAGACATAGTTAAGTTTACAAGCTATCATCTCGTATTATATGGCTGGGCTCTAAACCCAATGATGAGTGATCTTAAAAGATCAAAGCAGAGGGGGATCTGTGATATACCAGGGAGAAAGCCAGAGCAGACAGAGGCACGTACTGGGTGACACAGTGGATAAGCCAGTGAGGCCAAGTCACCAAAATCCAAAAGAGGCAGAGCACAGACTCTCCCCTAAGAGTGGAGAAGGAACTGAGTTTCAGACTTCTTGTCTCCAAGGACTGTGAGAGAATAAATATTTGTGGTTCCAAACCACTCTGTGGTAATTTGTTTATGGCAACCCTAGGAAACTAATATACTCAGCCAAGCCCAAATAAACCAAAAGAAGCCATGCTCGGATATGGCAAAGTGCTCAAAATTAGAAAAGAGCAAAGTTCAAATAGCCTGAAAACACATTATTTACAAGTAAATGACCCTGAAATCAATGGAGAGATCTCCATTTAGGCCACAAGAACGGAGCCACCTTTTAAATCTGTTAAAAGAGAAATGCCGTGCATCTGCAGTTTTGTATTCAGTGAAACCATCCTTCAGAAGCAAAGTTTAAACAATGAGGGTCTCACATAAAAGCAAAAATAAGAGACCTTGTTGCCAGTAAGGCTGCTCTAAACTGCTGTAAGAACTTCAGAGAAAAGATAAATTATACCAGAAGAAGAGCGACAGAAATAACAAACACTGGATAAACATAGTAGACTATTCTTCTCTGGAGTTCTTTGAACTATATTTGCAGGTTTCGAGCAAAAATTGTAACATGGTCATTTGGTGTTTTTTTTTTTTTCCCAATATATAAGAGATGTAACATAAAAGATAAAAAATATAACGAGAAATCTAACTGATAAGTTTTCTGCATTTCATTTTAAGTGGCTAAACACTTTAAGTAGACTGAAAAATTATAATCATCGAAGTTCTTACATACATGTACATATATATTATAAAGATATAGTCAAAATCACAGCAGATAAAGTGGAATTATAAAAACATTGTAATAATCCAAAAGACTAAAGAGTGGAAATAGAAAGATAGGAAACAAATTAAAAAGGTAGACCTAAGCTCAGCATATAATTACATTAAATGTAAATTATCCAAACACATAAATCAAAGCCAGAAATTATGAAAATACAAAAAAAAATCTGACCCAACTACATACTAACTACAAGAAACCACAATTTTGACATAGTTAAGGAAAAAGGTATCTGTGAATGTTAATCAAAAGAAAGCTAGTTTATCCATATTTCAAAATCAAAGGGCAAGAAAATGAAACAAGGAAGTTACATGATAGGGTTTAATTCATCAATAGAACATAATATTCCTAAACACACAAAGCACTTAACTACAGACCTTCAAAATGCATAAAGCAAACACCTCTCTTTTAGAACAACTGTATGACTATTTAGATAGCATTCTTGAAGACAAGTTATATTGATAGGGAATTGATTTTTGTCACAGACTTAAAGGGGCAAGAAGATATTACTATTAAAAAATAGTACAAGGGCATCGGGGGAAATTTTTTAGGGGTAGACTGACTTCTGTGTCCTGACTTTAGCGAGTTACATGATTTCTTTATATATGTTAACATTCCTAGAACTATAAAACAAACTTTAAAAAAGATCAATTTTGTTATATGGGAATATTTAAAATGAAATTAAAACTTTAAAAAATGCAGGTAATAAAATGAGCCCCACAGGAGAGTGAGGCAGGAAGATTTCAAGTTTGAGGCCAGTCTGGGTTACACAGAGATTCCATCTTAACAGGAACAAAAAAGTCAGATCTATTTGAATTTGAATCCTGTTTTAGTACTAGCTGGACAGACACTGAAAAGTTAAGTTTCCTCTGCCTTGGTTTCCTCCATGATCAAGTGAGAGGGACGGTGGTCCTATCTCACATCTTACTGGAAATATTAATGATAAGCAGGCATTTCTTCTCAGCCAACTGCCTGATGGTGAGTGGGGTCCATAACCTATGACTTATATTGTTTCTTCTTCTTCTTTTTTTTTTTTTTTTTGGTACCAGAAATCAAACTCACAACCTTGTGCTTGCCAGGCAGCACTGTGCCACTGAGCTATGTCCCCAGCTATAACTTAGGACTTTATCCCATCATCATAGTTGTTTTTCAAGGTTCCTTTCTGTTATAAATAATTGTATCACTTACTTGTTCTGGGATACTAAAAAATGTAAATTACAAAAACAGAGCAGTAGATAAATCTCAAGACCATGTAACATTTTAATGGCTGATTCTGCCTCTTCTGTTTGGTTTCAGGCATATGCTTGCCTCAAGATACATGCCCCAGTCAATTTTGTTTTATTTATTTATTTTTTGTCTGTTTGAGATAGGGTCTCACTATGCAGTTTAGGCTGGCTTTGAGCTCACTTTGTAGCCCAGGCTAGTCTCGAACTTGCAAAGTTCCTCTTGTCTCAGCCTCCCTGGTGGTGGGATTATAAGTGTGAGACATCACATCACGCCCAGCTCATGGAGCCCCAGTCAACTTTGGCACATACTGTAATCAGCACTCTGGGAGGCTGAGCTAGAATCTCACATACAAGCCCAGCATAGGCAACTTAGCAACTCAGTGAGACCCTGTCTCAAAATTTTTAAAACTTTCAAGTGCAGGGATATAGCTCACTCCAAATGCCCTGAGTTCTATGTCTAGTACTGAGAAAAAGAAAAATCTAATTGTAGTTTCATTCCTCTATAAACCTTTTACATTAGAAAATATAGATATAAAAGCCTTAGCCAGATAGTCCAGAAAACACAAATGTTACAGATAATGCAGATTTTCTTTCATAGTGAATTCCAAGAACGATTATAAATATTTTAACATCTACATCTCAGGGTAGAGGCTTATCACAAGGTTTATGATTGAAAAGCCACTGCTTTGTAATTGTCCTGGGATGCTTATTAAAATTATAGATTCCTGCTACTAAATCAGAATTTCTAGGGGCTAGCAGTTTCATGGTTTAACAGTCACTTGAGTGGTTTTTTGCATCCTGAAGTATAAAGTCTATTGGACCAACAATCAAAATAAACTGCTACTGGGGAAGGAGGGTCAGGAAAGGGAATGGAAAAAAGCATTAAGCTGTGCATGTGCATGTGTACCAACTCCCCACAAGGAATGTTATCATTATGTACTACAAACATGCAATAGTAAAAATTAAAATTAAAACAAAATAAAACTGCTATTAACTAGTATTATTCTCTTACTGGGTTTTATGAAGACAGATCAACATTAACGCAAAGTTTATCTGTATTACTCGTTCTTTCTCCTAGATTAGCAGACTAACCAAGTTGGTTATTTTAGAAATTATTTATCAAGCAACTACCTGCATTGCTTGGAGTTCAGACAGGTAGCCACCCTATGGTACTGAACCAATTTTCATGGTCTAGAAAACAGCTATTGACACTATCTTTTCCCAGCATATCAATCTTTCCTTTCTCCTTTTATTCTCTTACCTCTTTTGTTTTTTGGTTTGTTTTGTTTTGCTTCAATTTTCTGAATTCTCAGTTTAATTTTGGGGGATGTGGTGTACCAGGAATTGAACTCAGGACCTCAAGCTTGCCAGGCAGGTGCTGACGCCACTGAGCTAGATCCCTGGCCCCAATTTAATTCTTATTTCTCATTACTGTTTCGATGGCCCATCCTCTTTTAAATACAGAAAAGTCATTCAGCGATTGGGTAAGTGTTTAATAAGACACTAGGCAACTTTTTAAAAGATCTACATTGATGCTATAGAAACACTGACAATGTATTTATGTTAAGTGAAAGATAAAAGCAAGATTTAGGATAATGTAATAGTGTGCTGTATTTTATTTGATAAAAGAGACAAAAATCACATTCTTATTACCTAAAGACACTTGGAAAGGACCTAACAAAGCCGTTACCCAGATGCAGCAGAGTGTGACCTTAGGGGAAACGGGGAGATGAAGGGGTGGGACGAAGAACTCTCTTTATACACTTTTTGTATTGTTTTCATAGCTCACTCACAGAAGTGTATTGTGCTATATATACACACATATTTATATATGTTTATAGAAAAGAGGAAATAGTATATTGGCTTTGTCATAAGGCAAAGTCAGACAGTTTATTTTTTATTATATTTATTCTCTCCTGCCTCTCTCTAAAGTTAAGTCACTGATCTTTTCAACTTCTTTTGCAATCTTTCCAGTTTTACTTATGTAAACAGAGGCACATATTAATATAACAATCTTTTTTCTCATTTTCTTACACACGTATACCATCACACACCAACACTACTTTGTATCATTCTCCCCCATGTAAAATAACTATATTGGTGACTGTCTATTTCTTTCTCCTAGCTATGTGGGATATTTATTTAACCAGTCCCAAATCAGTGGGCACTGAAGTCATTTTCATTTATTTGCTATTGCCCAAAATGCTGTAATGAACAATCTTACAAATAATCTGATTTTATACGAATTCCGTGTCAATTCTTTGAAATAAGACTGCAAGTACAAAAGTAAACATATTTATAATTTTAGATGTTATCATTGCTCTTATGAGAGCTGTACAATGCTGTGACAGCGTCTGTCTTTGCATACCCAACAAGGTCTGCTATCAAACATATGGACTTTTCCAATTTAAAAGCTAAAGACAAAATACTTAACGATAAGCAAAGCTGAATATGTTTCAATATGTATAGGTCATTAATATTTCTGTTTTGGTGCCCTAGCACTTCAGACTTGCTACTTACTAAGTGAATGAACTTGGGCAAATGTTATTCTCTAGGTCTTACGCTCTTCTCTCCTACACCAGAAATAATGATTATAGCACTGGTTCAAGAATTTAATTGACAGAGAGGCTGGGGATTTAGCTCAGGGGCATAAGCGCCTGCATGGTGAGTGTGAGGTTGTGAGTGTGATCCCTGGTACCAAAAAAAAAAAATTTTCTTCAGAAAGCACATGAAATGCAAAAAAAAATATGGAGCACTTGCTAATGTGCCAGGAATTTCACAAAATTGGTGTGACCAGGACTTTTAATGATTTTGAACTTTATCTCCCACTTTTGTCATTATATTTCCCCTAACTTCTCCTATGTCCTGTTGACTACTAAAAAAATAACAAACAATTTACTGAAGGATTATATACTAAGCACTGTATTAGGAATTTTACATACAGACTTCATTCTTATGAATCTTGGTAAGACTCCTAGAAAATATTCTGGAAGAAAAATGAAGATTCACAATAGCTAAGTATCTCATCCCAACAGAAAATAGTGCTGAGATGCTAACTTAGGTCTGTCTGTTTGTCCTGAAGTCCCAACTTTTTTTTTCCATTATGTCATATTTTCTTAAATAGAAGGAATCAGAATGCCACGGTGTTAGCTCTGCGGTGTTACTGACATACTTACACGGATACTTCTGTATTTTCCAAGGCTAGCAAGTCCACATGTGGATAAACACAGGAATTTGAGTTGTTTGTTACAATAGGACTTGGAGAGCTGAAACCTAGAACACAAAACGGACTTGTTCGGTTTTCAAATGTTTTTTCAGTCACTTATTATAATGGATTTTCCACAGTCAGAATCAAAATCAAAGAGATTAATGTAGGTATTTCTTTTGCCATGAATAGAATATTTCTCCTAAGAGAGATTTAAAAGGAGTATTGACAGCAGGGGGAGAGAGACAAAGACAGAAATATATTCCTTCGCATAAAATGAGATTGTTGTAAACAAATAGTATTGAATTGGACTTTCTGAAATCTCAAACTGATCCAGAATGGAAAGGATTTTACAATTCAGCACAAAAATAAAAAGTTATGGTTTACACAGAGCTCTACGCTCTCCTCGAAGCTCTTAAATTTCCATTATTTAAGTGAAATACCCAAAGATAATAATTATCTCCTCTCTGAAAATTCCTGATTAAATATAAGAAAAATTTCCAACTCAATTCATTCTGCACACCTCCCATAAGCAAAGCCAAGAGTTTAGAAATGAAGAAAGCCATTAGAAAAACCATAAATTCAGTGGTTCTGGATAATATAAGAGAAAAACAAAGTTATTTTGGTTTGGCATAACTAAATTGTAGCATTTTTCATCGCCCTTATTTTAGAATATACCAGTACTTTGGGGGCGTAAGGTTACAAGATAACAAATAAGTCAGATAAGACAGGTAACCCCACACCTGCAATGAATTTTATAAATATTATTTCATTTACCTTCTTTGCAACCCATTAAAACAATAATCATTTCTATTTCATAAAGTACAAAAGATTCACCAATTAGGAAGGTTAACAGGTGGCAGAAATATGATTTCAACTTGGACTTTCTGACTCTGAAAGCTGTTTTTCTCTTTATGTTTCATCATTACGTGGATTATCGCTTATAAATTTCTGAATTTCTCTGCGTCAAATATTCCCTTACCTGATTCTGTGGTATAGCAGAGAAACACAAATATAACAGATAATGTGAGGGTTCAGAAGAGACTTAGGAACTGGTTATCAAGCTGGAAAACATCTGCAAAGCAGGCCAGCTGAATTCCATGGGATGCTAAGCCGGTAGGATGGGTTTAAAAGGTTTCTTCCAAAGACACATCCCATGCCTGTACTGGGTTTGACCCAACTATTTGCCAGGAAGTCAGAACATCTAATGATAGTGTTCCCTGATATTCAAACTGATTTTGTGCCTTCTCATGAGCCATTTAATCATGAAACCAAAGAGAACTGTTTCACATCAAGCTCTTCTGCTGGTCTGAAAAGGCCCAATCCTTATTTACTTAAGTCTGAAAGCTGAGCATTCATGCTGTTGAAGTCTCCCTGAGGGGCTGGAGGCATCAAGGGGCTGGGACTTAGGTCAAGGAGGTCAGAAGACGGTGCGGAAGGCTCGCTGGAGGTCTGCAAACAAAGCAAAGAAAAATGCGATTCATCTAATTCATCACGGCTTTCTCCCTACAGCTGCTCCTTTGGAGAGGAAAGGATCCTACACGTATGCATTTCTGAGGAAGAATTCTTCAAAGGGTTTGTTATATCTCACCATTTACATGACTTCCTGTTTACTTAAGGACCTTGTGACATCTTCAGACAAAAATTCAAGACCATCAAAACCACTTCAAATTGTAAATGCATACTTCTTCTTCATTAAGATCTATTTTAGGTAAGCCTTTCTTTTTTTGTGTAAGTGGTAAAATATTCAATAGTTCATTTTACAAATTTCTAATCACTTACATTGGCAGTTCCATTCTGGATTTTATTTTGCTCCAAAAGCCTTTGTTGGTTTCGAATAAACCTGTTGGAATTAGCAAAATGCAAATACTTAAAACATATAGAAAAATGCTTCAAAATGCAACAGATTTTGAATATACAGATATTGAGGAATGGTGGCAATGAGCCTGGCATCTGTTCAATACTCAGTAAAATACTATTAGTAACTTTTTCCAGTTTATGAAACATTAACACTCTTAGGAGAAAACTGTCAGGAAATCACAATGTAGTTTTTTAAAATTAATAGTTCAGTCATCCAGAAATTAACACTATTAATCTGTTTATTTTCTTCCTAATTCTTTTACAAATGAATCTGCTTTCATAACTGTACATCCTAATTCAATAATGCAAGCATTTTTCTATTCAAAACTGTAATTTTTAATGGCTGTAATCTTACATTATAAATCTCTTATACCTTTAGTCATTCTTTTTATTCATAAGTTCTAAAATAATGTTATTCCTTATTTTAACACTATAAATAATTTACTATAAAAAGTCATATGTATCTGAAGTAATTTCAATGTTTCACTGTTTACCTTCTTTTCATAGGAGATATTTTTGAAAAAAATTGACCTTTTCCAACTTTGATTTAGTTTACATTGCTTACTCACTCGGGATAAGGGAAGAAGAGTTGAATAAGTGGAATAGATTGCAAGACTAGTGACAGTGAAGGCAGAAGACCAAGGTTCATAGCAGTACTATTAATGAGCAGCTAAGTGGCCATCAACATAACTTCCTGAATCTCAATTCTCCATCTGCTCACAGGGAGTAATAACACTGGAACCATTTCTTCAGAAATTCATTTTAAGGAGGAAAAATAAATAATGTAGAAATGCTTTGCAAACTCAGTTTCTTCAGAAACATACAGCATTACTATTTGAGCCACTGATTCCACGTCCCTAAACACTAAAGTCTAAAAGCTTATACTACATCTAAACATGCACTTAGGTTTAAGGTTGTTTTTTGTTTTTTGTTTTTTCTAAAACACATGCTTTTTATTTAATCGACTTACATGGTGGCTTCTTGTATGCTTGTTAGTTATGTGCTAGGTGGTATGAACAAACTTCTGAGCTCAAGCTCCACTTAACACATTTACTCTCGATCTGCAGAGCTATGCCCTGCATGTAATGGTGGAGACTTCTGGAAATGCAGGAATAAGGTGAAAGTACTTTGCATGTGGAATAGAGGTGAATCTTTGGGCACCAGAAGGCAGATGAGAATGGGAAGGATAATGCTCCCACTTGAAAGATATCCATATCCTTGTTAACAGAATCAGTGAACAAATCAGGTTATATAGGAAGAAGGAAATAAGCTTTGCAAATGGAATAAAGTTTGGTAGTCAGCTCGCCTTAACTGTGAGATGACCCTGGACAATACAGATAAAACTCAAAGATGTCATAAAAGTCCTTAACCACGGAAGAAGGAGACAGAAGAGGAAGTAAGAGTGATGATATGTAAGAAGATCTGAGCAGCCATTGGCTTCGAACACAGAGCAAAGGGGCCACGTGATAAAAGGGAGTGGATGTTCTTCTTGAAGCTTCAAAAGTAAGCAGACCGAGTCTCCTCGACAGCCTACAGAAAGACATGTACCCTACTAACACTCTAAAATGAACCCGGTGACACCACTGGCGACTCGTCCTGGAAAATTTAATTTATTATCTTGTAATAATAAATTTGCATTGATTTAAGCCACTCAGTTTGTGGCAACTTGTCACGGTGTTTAATGTAAGCTAAAACACAATACTATTATCTCTTCTAGAGGCAAAAGGTCCTCTCTGCATATCAGGACCCCAATGTTTCTATCACATAATGTACCATGGTAACTCTGGCAACACATAGTTCAAAGCTAAACTAGAACATGCTGTTCACAGAAACAATCCAATTTCCTGATGTCTTCTCTCAGAGGAGGCCTTTAAGCAGTGGTCTGATGGTTTGCAACAGAATTTTCCCAAATGAAAACCAGAAGGCAGCATTATATGGAAAAACATGTGGTTTTCCTGGGATGTTTTTCTTCTTACGAAGATTTACACACAAGAAAAAAAAAAAAAAAAAAAAGCAAGAATTGTGAGTTTATTTGGTGCTAAGAAAGAATATCCCCCCTGGCCTCATGTCAGTCAATGCCCTGCCTTTTTTTTTTTTTGACAATCTACTGTCCCTAACGGGCAGTGAACATGGGCTAGTGAAGGAAAGAAGCTGCTGGTTTCATGTCATTGGTTTTCCTGGTTCACTCATGATCAGTAGAAGACCAAAGAAAACAGCAACCAAATGAAACAAACAACCATTTAAAAGGATCAGAGGAAACTTAGGAAGAGGACAAGAAAGTAATTTTTAATGATTTTATATGTTAGAACCCCTCTAGGTATTTTCATGTACATTATCTCATTTAATCCTCAAAAAGAGTTTTTGTAAACCCATAAGTCCTTCAAATAGGTATTACCTTTCTTTAATAGAAAGAAAAAAATGAAGTTTTAAGAATGTTATGTAGCTGAGGTGGTAGCCCACACCTGTGTTCCCAGCACTCGGGAATCAGAGGCAATTTCGAGGACCGGCCTGGGCTACAAAGTGAGCTCAAGGCCAGACTGAACTGCAGAACTCAAAAAGAAGAAAAAAAAAAAAAAGTTATGCAACTTATAAGACATCATTGGCTGGATTTGAATCCAAGCCTTTTTGCCTCTTCCTCTTACCCATGACTGGTCTCACTCTTTGCCCAGCGGTTAAAATGTAGCCACTCCATTGTGCATTTCAGTGTACCCAGTAATTCTCAGTCAAGATGGTGGCTCGAAGCATGTCTAGTGAGTCACCTTAGCTAGAAGGAAGCATTTTCTGGCATTTAGGAAGTGGAACCCACACAAGAGAATCCTGTACTCCAAATGCCACTCCTATGGAGGAGAAAGAATCTAGAGAAAGCATTCTTTGTGGGTAATCTCTGCCCGTTGATCTTGTCAACTTGATAGACTGAGATATTACGGTCGAAGTGACCGATCATGGGGATGCTACACCACTGTCAGCAGGTGGGCCTGCTGGACGTGGCTCACTGGGGACATGCCTCTGGAAAGCAAATCTTTCCTGACCTTCGTTCCCCAGCTCTGCTTTCTGTCTCCATGAAGTTAGCAGCTTAACTCTGCCATGCCTCCCATCACAGTACAGTTTTCCTGCTTTAGAGTCAGCAGACCATGCATGGAATCCTCTGAAACTATGAGCCAAATGAAACTCTCCTCTAAGTTGCAGGTGTTGTGTATTTCATTCCAGAGATGAAAAGCTGGCTAATACACACCCTAATACACATAGAATGAATGGAGGCCTGCCACCTACTCACCGCTCATAGCCAAGAATGGCCTCGTTCAGATCTTCATTCACTTGGATTAGCTCAATGGTTACATCTTCATTCTCTACCACCACGAGCAGGTCCATGATCCTCTCCTGCATCTCCCGACCCGTCTTATAAAGTTTCTGTCAAGAAAGGAGAGAGGTTTCTTCTTCTGTGCTAGGATGCTCTATAAGACAACTGACTTGTCAGTCTGTACTTGACATCACCTCCACAGATCCACCTACAAGAGGCCACCAAGGACTTCAACTGCGGCAGCTCATCCTCTCCGTTGGAAGGTGATCAGATACAGGTGCTTCTATTTTGCTCTATAAACCGAAAGTCATCAGAAGGACTGTATGACCCACTGGAGATAACACTGGACTAGAAAATGGAAATGCTGTGTAGAAATTCCACACGCACTGCTTGCTAGCTATGGCACGATGGGGAAGAAAGTCATTTGTTTTCTAAGTCTGTTTTCTCATTGATAAACAAAGGGGAAAAAAATGCTTGTCACATCTACCTCAAGGGTTGACATAAAAATCAAATAGGATGAATGTAATGAGGAACTCCATAACTACAGAGCATAAACATAAAATGTTATTATCATAATCAGTGATGGTAGAAGGAGCAGTTTAAAAACACTGGCAGTGGCATAATTTTATCTCCAGTTATGCTGTACTTAAACATTTAAGGTTTACAGTTATATCCCATTCCGATGTAAACGGAACCTGGATTTAAAAGCTAATCATGGATAATCACTTCTTTCAGGCTTCTCAGAATCACTGCAGCAAGCCAATAGGCCACCTCAAACTGCTTTTCTCACACGCATCAGAGGCATCACGTACAGCTCACTTATTGATTCGGAGTCTCGAGGGCTAAGGCTATGGGCACCTACATTTATTAAACAAGCACCCCAAAGTGTTTCTTATGCACACTGACATTTGAAAACTGTCTCCTTACAAATGACTTCCTCTCAGGCAAACCTCCAGTAAACTGGAGGTGGATTCAGTGAATATTAATATTTCCTCCACCCCCCTCTCGCCTGGAATTTGTCCATGTAAATGGTACACTAACCTAAGACAGAAAGCACAGGAACATTTCTCTTCTCCCAGTGAAAGCAGCAGACCTTGCTGGAACCTCATGCAATTATATTATCTGATTTTTCCCCTCAAGAAAGAAAGGCTCACTAAAAAATTTATGCTGCATGAAACCATTTAGAATCTAAACACTCTATTATGAGCCTCGTGACAGGAAATCTCTAAATAAATAAATCAAACTATTACTAACTGGCATTCAGACTTAGAGGTAAAATGCACTACCTCTGTAAAATCACGAAAATATTTAGAAGACAAATTAAAATACAAAGGGGAAAAAAAGGTGAGGTAGACACAGAGATGAGAGACTAGATTTCTACACTAGCAATTAACAGCCAGAAAAAAAGAGTCCTATTTGCTAATTACACACCCATATCAGCAATGGTATAGCACAGGGGTCAAAGTTTAGTCTTAAAACTCCAGATATTACCTATTTTCTACTTTGTGGGCCATTTCATCTCTGCTGCATCTACACAACCGTGGCACTGTAATGTAAAAATAGCCTGAGACGATAAGAAAACAGGCAGGTGTGGCCAAGTGTTAATTAAACAAAAACAGGTAGAAGGCGGGGCCAAGAAAAAGACCTTGGACTCAGTAGAGCAAGGTACCTTCAATATATGTACATACCTGATAAGGGAGTTAAAGAAACAAGGCTAAACCCTAACCTTAGGCTTGAGTACCAGCCCCAGTCTACAGTACAACAATAAGGACTATCTTGAAAGGTTGCTGCAAAATAGAAAACGGTGCAGATGAAGTCCCTACAATGCCTAGCAACCAGTGAGCAATCAACAAATGCACTATACTTGTTGGAGGAGAGATCACCAAAAGCTCATCTAGATAATTAATACAGTCATGGAATACTTGCACCTTTACCCAGGATGCAATAGCATGGAAGGGTAAGCACAGCATTTTACGTAACTCCCCTTAGGCATGAGAACTTTTCCTTTCTTCTTGTTAGAGAGCGTACAGAAATTGTTCCTCTTGTTGCTCTCTGGCAGCTCTACAGGAACAAGGTCAAGATCAAGGAAGTACAATGGGTGTTAGGTATCTTTTACAAAAATACAGGAATTAATTTGAAATGAATTTGCAGCCAACATCAATCGCCCCCAGTCACATAAAGACCCTCCCTTTGCCCTTTCAAGAGACAGATGGAATGGAAACATGAAAGGAGCACCACATCTTTGGCAGGCTTGCAAAGCAGAATGTGAAAACCCTCTTCAAAAGCCAGCCCACTCTGACCTTTGCAATTGATGTCTGTCTCAGAGCAGGACCACGCCACCTGGAAACAGCCCACATCAAGCACCAGGGGGAAAAGGATGGGTCAGAGTACCCCACAGCAGGTACTTGTGAGGCTGTGGATGTGAGGAGCCATGAGAGACTGTGGGGGAGGGGGAACCAAGTCAAAACACAGTGACAGCTGCTAGAGCATGTGCCATCACAGATCACAGAGCCCCGAGTCACTTCCCTTTAGGCAGAGGCAGGCTTCTGTATTAAGAGTACATTGAACAATTCAAAATGCTTTACAGCAAAACAAAGAGGAGCTCATTAAGAGCTTTCCCTTCCCGACACCCAGATGGATATTATCCCTCCACAGATCCCCCTGCACTTTCACCAAGAGCTGCAGTCATCTCAGGTCCACCAGCATCAGGTAAGGCACTCAAAACAATAGCTGAGCATGTCCCTTGGAAAAGTACAAACAGGAAGTACGCTCCTTTGGAAACAATGTCTGAATGACAATATTCTTATTACCTGATATAACATTTCTTCTCTTCCAGTTCTCCCCATTCAGCCTATAGGAGACCCAGAGCATGTCTCTGTCTCCTCGAAATAAAAAGTATCTCCTGCGCACCCTAAAACCAAACAGTTATCAGCTGTTGCTCATGGTATCGCTCTCCTTAGACATGCCTCTGCTGAATGAATTATCAATGTAAACCTCCAGATCATTAACTTATTAGAACCATTCTCTGACTTCTTTTTTCTCCTCACTAAATACTTTCAACATTTTCTTTCCCTCCTGCCTTTCTCTTCAGTAAAATCTTTTTGTCTTCAGTAACTTCTTTTGCCATCATTAATTCTTTAATAAAAAGAATCAATCTGTTCAACCTAACAGACCTTTAATAAACTCATTCAGTGTGCAAAGCATAGATTGTAAATACGCATAATTGTATGAAGTACCATGAGGGATTTAAGAGGACAGGCCTTGATTACTGCTTTCAAATTCTTCCAAACTAGCTTAAAAGCTAATTCATACCCAGAGAGAAGAAAAAATACAAGGTAGGCGTGGACACTAGAAGGTCAGCCCTGCGTTTGCAATGAGAAACAAGTGGGCACCACGAGCAGAACATAAGCTTAGCATAGCAAGGTTCTCATTCCATCTCCATTACTCACGGCCATGTGAGGAATCTGCCCATTTTGGGACACCCAGCCTCATTGGAGGGTGGACTCCAACACATTTAAAGTCCCTTCTAATCTTGAGACTGAGGCAGGAGATACGGGTATGGTCAGTCAGCTGGGCAAGTGGGCATGATCTGTCAATCATAGAGATATAGAACACATGCCCGGAAAAACAGCTCCTAAGGACTGCACTCAGAACCAATCAGAAAATACTATCTTTAATTCAGGCATGAGATCAAGCAGACTTTTGATTGGACAACTTAGATCTGAGTAGGGAGATGCAAAAGACCTCCAGCATGAACCCTGTCGCTGCTGTGCTCTTTCTATAGTGGCCTACTCTCACCCTACAGAGTGCACTTCTTTTCCTAGTTTATTTGAGCTGTGTTCACTCTGCAGAGCATACAATATTTCTTTTCCTACCTGTAATCAGTGTAAAACCTTGATACATATATCACCTGCTTTGACCTTTTGTTTGTTCAGGATGACAAGAGCTTGGAAAGAATCTCTTATAAAGACCCTACAGTACCCTACAACCATGGTAACAGGTGCTTACAAGTTCCCAAATGTTAAGTTAGTACGGTTGGTCAGAAAATGATGGCGTCACTTCAGTGGTTTTTTTTTTTTTTAACTTTTTTTTTTTTTTTCTCTCAACCAGTTTATAAATTACCTTCATAGGATCCAATTATAGGATCTTATGATCTTATATTTCTCTCGTAAACTGGAGTAAGGCTTTTTCTAATTATACATGTCAAATAAGCACTTCCTTTATTTTGCAGAAGGCTACAGCAGTCCCTTCTTTCACTCTCCTACAGGTTATAGACAAAATATAAGAAAAGAAGGGCCAAAGTGTGAGGTTTCCAAGAAAGCCAGTTATCTGAGTCGGAGAAAGGTGCTCAAGACCTACTGCACAAGGCCAAGATTGCAAATGAACACAGGCTGCAAGTCTTTATTCCTGTGGCCCATGTAGAAGATGCCTTGAATTCCTCATCACCCTCATCAGACCTGCCGCAGCCTCCACATCCTCCCCGACACTTTGACTAAAAAAACCCAGTCTCCACCCAGTCAATTTCAAAGTCCACAGGCAGCACAGCCTTAAGGAAAGGTGTCTACTACCTAAGATAGTTTTACTGTCTATTTTCTAACAAAGTGAAGAAGCCCTGTGAATCAGTAGTGCTTTAGGATATGATGGTCAACGTGGACAGGAGGAACAGAAAAAAGATTCTAAGAAAATAATGTATTCGATTTCAGATAGAAAGAAACACACAGGGCATGTGTTGCAAATTTACAGACCCAGTAAAAGGTAAGCACAAAGAGGCTTTTAATGCTAAGAAAACAGTATGATAAGACCTTGGTTGCTGGTTATGAATATGTGCAGGATGAGCCAAACAACACTTGAGTAGAGGTTTTTCCTACGTGCTGATCATCTTCTGTTTGCTCTCCAGATCCACTGTCCACATTCTCTGCCCTTCTTGGCCCTACAGCTGGCTTGTAGGGACCACACCACTAGGTTCTAACTGGTCAGCTAACAGGGCCAGCTGTCAGGAAATAGAAGGAGCCAGAGAGAAACAGATCTGATACTTAATTTATGCAGTCCTTTGACCCACCTCGCTGCCCACCTCCTGGTGATCACTTAGCTGCTGCTGAAGCCCCAGAAGCAACTGTATATTCACAAGGGGAGCCAGCCAGGAGCTTGCACATCATGACAGGGTTCTGCTACTACTGAGCCCAGCAGTTCAGACAACTGTGAGAAAACCTTTGAAAAAGTACAAACTAATGAATTACTTTGTTTCTCCATGGTCTATCTTCTCTGGTTTCGTTTTTAGATTTTAAAAGCAGATAGGCTCCCTGTCATTCCACTCCATAGAAGATTTCATCCCACTGTTTTAGATCAGTCCTGGCATTTGTGTTTTAAAAATGCAACCTTTAGATTAAGAAAATGCAATTAAGATTAGCACTTCCCATACCAGATTTGTATGTGTTACTAACAACAACAACAATAACAACAAAAAAACTATGGAAGGTAAAATAAAGTTATCCATTCAATGGTCTTTGTAAACAACTTGATCCAAGGTCAGAAACCATGCAACTTGACTTGGCCATGAGCCCTATTCTAGTGTTGAATTATAAGCTAAGTCTCTTTACTAGTCAAGGTTATACCCATTAAAACAATAACCATTAAAACAATAACCAACAAATTAACATCACCAACTCACAAAATTAAATTAAACATCTGAACCCAAAGAGATGGAGACAAAAAGCCATTTCAGCCTTGATGGGATAAAAATGCAAAACTGGACTTACATATTTAAATAAATGTTTCAGTATTTATTTTTACTGAAGGATTGTTTGCTATTGATGGATGAGAACAAGAGAGAAAAGTCATAAATCACTATCTTAGCGTTCTCAATAGCCTGTAGAGACCATGTCAAACTAGAAATATTGCTGTAGCAGTGTTTGAAAAACACTGTCATCCACCCTTTAATTCTGACATTTAATTTTTAAATTTTAGTTTATCGTAGTTGTTAGCATTGTAAGTTACAAAGTTTCTACCTATAAAAATCTCTTATGGTTTTTTGTTTTTAAAAAATGATTATTACATATGGCATGTAATGATTAATTTTCCTTTTAATCTATCATGTGTTTAATTTTTTAATTACTAAATATCATCTAAGCTCTTCACTTTATGCAGAACTAAATCTAATGATGCAAAGTGACTCTCCTAAGGGTGAGAACCCAGAGAATGTGTAGCAAAAGGATATAATGCTCCTAATTCTAAAAATAATATATATAAAGCCAATGATTGAAAATCCTGATCTGTATCTCAAGACTGCCCACTATCGCTTTCTATAGAATACTAACAGGTTCTTAGCAGACGGGCATCCTTTGCTCAGATGAGTTTGGAAATGTTGGGTTAAACAAAGACACTTATTACTAAAACAATGAGCTTTACAAACTCAAAGAAGAGAGTTAAAATAGGCAACTAGCTTTGCAAATTTATTAGACCACAGATACCAATTTCTAAGCCCAGAACACAGTATCAAACCAAGAGTCCTATTTTGCATCCCAGACTTTACATCAAAATGACACCAGAAGGATCCTCCTAAAATCCAATCTGGTTAAAAAAGAGCTACTTACGTTACACACTTTTATTGGCTCCCCTTAGCCCGCCTGACTCAGGTCCCTTATGGGCATAGCATGAAAGTCCCCCTTAACCTATCTCGCCTCCTCTGGAACTTTATTCTACCAAGTGGTGGAATTAAATCCTCTTATCCCTACATATCTAACTAAGAGAAGCCACAAAGTCACATCCACTGACAGTGAAGTGGGAGGGGGCAAGGAGTTCCTTAAAAGGCATAGCACAGACCCCAGTGGTCTCTGGGTACTGATTTGCATAGGTAGAGTTTGAGAAATAGTTTTGGGGATTTTGTTTTGTTTTATTTTAATTAGGACTTAAAACTACCCCATCATCAGGCATGATGATGCACACCTATAACCCCAGCGCTGTGGAGGCTTTGGGTTTGAGGCCAGCCTGGGCTACAGATACAGTGACATTCCTGTCTCAAAAACCAAACAAATACAACTAACCCTTCTAAGCCCGTGGATAGCAACAAAACAGAGGAAAGCTTATGAGCCACACTCTGCTACCTCCTAAGTAAGAGAAAAGCACCACAGAATAGAGAGGTTAATATTTCCTACTACTGGCAGAATCCAGGAAAAAAACAGGAAGCCTGTAATCCAACAGATCAGCTATTTTAATGTGTCTCACCAAGCATCACCCCATGCTGATACTCCTTACTCTGAAAAGAAAACCAACCTCAGGCTGCAGCGAGCACAGCCTCTCTTCAGCATGGACGAGCTGGCTCAGCAGATACTGCGGATGAGCAGGCCACGACTGTCACACAGAAGTGAGCTCAGCAGCAGCAATCCAACCAAACATTTGAGGAATCAAATAAAAGAGATAAAACACAAAAGAAGTTGTGAAGAATTGACCAAAAAAAACAGAAAAAGCAACCTCAAAAATAATTACTAACTTAGAAACATAAAAAGTACAGCCTTTAAAAAAAACTGTTTTAAAAATCCAAATATGTTTTTAAACAAAATACATAACTGTTGAAGTAAAACATTTATTCGAACAGCTGGCTAGCCAATCTGATGCTAAGTTTTAAAGAAACAATGTATCAAGCGGACAAATTTTCCCAGAACTGTATCACAAGCAAAGGAAGATAGGAAAGAAACAAAAGATACAAAAGAAATGTTAAGAGAGGGGAGAATCCAACTGGAAGTTTCCTTGTCTACAAAAAACTTCTGTAAGAAGAAAACAGAATAAAGAGGCAATATTTGCAGTAAGATATTTCCTGGAATTAAAAATACATGCAGGTTGATGGGGGAAAAAGTCTTAGGAACTACCAATCAAGATAAGTAAGCTAAGCACATAGGTACACATAAAAGCACACATCACCTCTGACATGGTACAGTGAACCTTCAAAAATATTCTGGTAAAGAGAAATCACAAAATGCAACCAGGAAAAAAAAAATCAGATTATAAAACTAAGGAGAATTAAAGCAGAACCAAAGAGTCAAGATACCATCATACTTATCAGTATCACAGGGTACAAAAGAATAATGGAGCATTACCGTCAAAAGACTTAAAAGAATTTTGTGCCTAAAATTCTATGTAGTTGAACTTACTACCATTTAACATGGCAACAAAGATGTTTTGGGACGTGAAAACATCCAAAGTGTCCTATCAGTAGATGGATATACTTCAGCATGGATAACGAAGGATTCAAGGGTACGGCACTGATACCTAACAAATGAAAAATAAATATTTAAATAATTCTAATATGAGAACTGGGGAATGGGAAAAATAAGGCAATGTTTTCAACCTATTTGGGGAAAAAAATCCTTCTAAAATTAGTAAGTATTAGGTGGAGTTAAGTAATTTGTTCTTTTGTTTCGACTCAGGGTCTCACTATGTTGCCCAGGCTGATCGCAAACTCCTGGGTTCAGGCAGTCATCCTGTCTCAGCCTCCTAAGTGCTGGGACTAAGCACAGGTGTGCCACAATGCCTACCTACAATTAGTAAGTGTGGAAATTTAAAGCTGATAATTCAATAAACAATCCAGCAGAGGGAAAAGTAAAGTATATGTACAGATACAGGTGGAGGTTTGCCTAGACCACCCAACTGCTCACGGTTTACCTCGCATGTGCACAAACTCCCAAGGCCTGCGGACCTGTTCTTTACAGCCGGAGTACTGCTTCCATCTGAACCTGACTTAGAACCCTCACCTTTCTCCTTGTCTCTTCTGTTGATCCCACCACACACTGCCAAATTTTACATTATAGCATCAGTAACACTTTACCATGCTGTTTACAAAACCATCTTGTTTGTTAAACAGAAACTCTTTAAGGATTAGGACAGCCTCTCCATTTCTACATCCCTACTGCATTACAGTCACTCAAACTTATCAAATAGATGGCTACAGAGGCAATTTTTACATGCTTAAAACAAACTGAGACTGGATTCTAGATGACCAAGACTAAAAATTATGGGTTTTTGCAAGTAGGTGAGGCTCATATCCAAGTTTTTAGTGCATTTCTGAAAAAAAAAAAAAAAATCATCCTTGGATGTTTTTGTTAAGTTTGGAAGTCAGATGAAGTCAGAATGTGAGGGCATGGACTAGACAATATTAAAGAGCCTTCCTTCTCCAAAGTGCAAATTTCAGAGAATAACTTGCAAGGAGACACTTTGCTTGTCCAGATCATACTGTACCTGTAGAAGCTCGAGGTCATCAGAGTTTTCAGACCCGGGAGTGTTCTCCATCAGGATGGCAGACATCACCCTCACATTCATTTTCACCATATCCAACTCACTGTGCAATTTTCCAATCTGTAGAGAGCAGCACAATCAGCAGTCAATAAGTGTGTCACATATGACGGGTTAAAACTTATTTTCTGCTCTGGTACATATGCTGGGAGATAAAATACTTTTGTCAAATTTCGTATTTTCAAACATATTTAAGTTTATGCAAATATATATCTATATAATACATAATTATTTTACAAATTATACTGCCCCCTTCTAAACGTACTTAGGACCTCTTGTAATTAAAGCCAAAAATAATATATTCTGAGGAAGCTGAACATTAAGGAAATAAAAAGAATAGAACCAGTATAAGGAGGGAAGAAGTACCAGGTAGCTAGCAAGAGAAAGTACTAAGAATGGTCTTGGAAATCAACTGGGAAAGGGAGGAAAATGTACAAAACACTCTAAGATGTTCTTTTCAGATCTAAAATGTTCCCCAAAAGTCTCATGTGTTTAAAGATGGAGCTTCTGAAGGGTGATTATTAGGTTGGGGCACTATACCTACCTGTGGATTAATCTGCTGATGAATTTCATAGTCAAATGTGCTATTAGAAGGTAGTTATCTAGCCACAAGAGTTGAGCCACAGGGCATGATCTGGAAGGGTGCATTCTTGTTGATGGCTCCTCCCTTGTCTCTATGCCTATCAGGTACCACCTAAGCTTTCCTCTGCCATGGCCTTCTCTCATGCCCTTCCTGCCTTGGGGTCAGCCAACCACAGCCTAAACTCTCGGACATCATAAACCAAAATAAACCTCTCTTTTTCAAATTGAGGATGTTAGATATTTTGTCCCAGTGTTTGAAAGTGACTAATACATTAGCATTCTCATAATATTATAGGAAGAAGGATAAAAAGAGAAGCATTTTTTTTTCTTCCTGGATTAAATTCTACAAGGAATTAATTACATGGATGTCTACGTTAGAAACACTGAATAATAGAAACACAAAGGCTTGCATGACAGCTCCTTTATACCAAGGCATAAGCTTTATATAATGGCTTATCTGAACCTCTGACAAGCAGATAGACAAAGAAGCAAATGCAATTCAGTTGGCGCAATTAACACAAGTAATAAGACTATCATATTCCGAACTCTCTGAAATGATATATGCACAGTCTTACCAGTCCCAACAGGAACCAGCTGGTACACACAAGAGGCAGTCCACAGCCAGGCATCATAAAACCCTAGAATTCACTAGCCAACAATCCTTAAAAGCGTTAGCTTTGGAATCAGAGAGAACTTACTGGGTTACTTCTGCTTAGAAATGAACCATGGTAAGGCACATAGCCTAAAGTGCAGTTTTCTTCACTCTAAAATGAGAGTAATAATAAAGTACGTACTCCCTTGATGTTATTAAAGGGAAAACCAAATCTTATACATAATGCTTAGAAGAAGATATCAATAAATGTAGTTGTCACTGCTCTTACCTGTTCTGGGACCAATGTAATAGTTGTGCTCCTGGCAGTAATTACAGGAGAAAGAGCTGGTGCGGTTGGGACAGGGGTCGGAGGACTCGATAAGCTCCGCGGAGTCTATCAGATTGAAATAGGGAAATACTATGACAAGATGAACACAGCCACCTCGCACCCAGCTTTTCCACTCAGCTGACCCAGACACTCCCAACCAAAGTCCTGAGCCGAGTTGTCAGTCCAGAGTCAATCACCAAGTGTAGAGCCTGCCCAGCACTATGAAACGAGTGCCCATTACAGAGCACGTGTTCAGTGAGATGGGGCTGCGTTTTGGTTTACTAACTGAATTACAACTTGATACAGAGCTCTTGGTTTTTACCAAGGATCTGCATGATAAACTGATAAGTGAGATTACTGCTGCCCTCTCTGGGTTGTTTTTTTAAAAAAGTGGAAATTTAATTCATGTTGAGTCTTTTCAAGATGGCGAACCATTTAGACTTGTTCCCACGTTGCAATGCAAAACCCACTTATTTACTGCAAAATGCCAACACTGAAATTACACCTGAATACTGAGGTTGTAGTTTAGAAAAACAATGCATACATTAATGTCCTTTGTCTTAAGAGAAAAACAAATAACATGCATGCCACAGATTTGCCCCTAAATCAATGAACACTTTCTCCCTCAGTAATTGCCTCATGGGTAGCCTTGAGTGAACATCGAGGGTCCCGATGCCAGTGTTTCTCAACCCTAATGTGCAGAGAAAATACCTGAGAATCTTAGATAAACAAAGATTCTGAGTTTAGAGGATCACACTTGAGTAGCTAGGTCCTAAGCCGTGGTGACTTGATGAGTTATGGTTATACTCTTCCAATAAATTCATCTGCTTAAACTGCTTCATCGAGGGTCATCCCTTGCAATAAGAAAAGACCCAAGTAATAAGTTATCTCATTCCCCACAGGGCAAAGGAAAAAGCCTCCCACCTCCTGTGTTGTGGCTTCAGCGTTTGCATCTGAGGAAGGAAACTGAACGCCTTTCTTCAGCAGGTCAAGGTACACTTCCTTCACTTCACTTACATCCACACCTCCTGGGAAACCTTGTGACCAGGTCTGAGTTCAAGAGACGGAAAGTTCCAGAGTCAAAACAATAGCAAAATCAAAACAGTTCTGAAGCTTTCCATGTAAAATGAGAAGTTTAACAATTATGTGTTATTCAGAGGAAGTTAATATTTAAAGGTTACAAACAAAAGCTAGAACAGTATAAAATATTTGACACCAAGAGACTGCTATGCTTTAACATCTTAACAAAACTCTGGGATAGATACAATCACTTATCTCTTGCTGTACTGAATCCAATATTGAGAGATTCTGAAATAGTATCAGGAGCTCTTTTGCCAAGTAACCTCAAATTAGTTAGCTACTCCCATCCCCATAGCTGCAAATTGAACACACACATCACTATTGTGACTACTTGACACAGATGAAACAGAAACTGCCAGGGAAGCAGGGAAATGATGACCAATTCTTCTGTAAAAGTACCATTCAATGCCAAGAAAGTATTAGTCTACAGAAGCCTCAACAGCAAAAATGTTTTATGACTGTACACAGGATCGCTAAAACAATCAGAAGGCACACCATTGAATCCCCAGTCTGAGATTTTATCATCCCATAAAGTATACAACTGACTCACCTTAATAAAATTCAAGATTCTATTCTGAATGTCTAAAGGCAAGGTGAACCTGGGGTTCAGCAGCTTCACGAGGCTATCTTTAATGAAGTCCTTCTTCACAATCAGAGCCTGGAAACTCGGCCCACAGTTCTGCATACACATGTCAATAAGCTGCATTAGAGAGAGAGAGAGAAAAAAAAAAACCTTTATACTTCTCTGGTGTAGCCATCTTTTAATATAAGATAAAATTTGCTAATTAAACAGTAATTTCGGTCAGCATTTGGATTAATAGACATTATTTACTTTCCACCAAAATGCACGGTGAATGTTAAATTCTAGCGTAACTGCCTAGAGCAGTGATGGTGAACCCTGCAGTTTTCAGTGATGACTGTGTCTGGACTGTGGTCCAGCAGGCTCCCCACCTCTGTCTAGACCTAAATGTGGAGAGAGAGCACAACTCCAGGAGCACTACTGCTGTATAAGGTGGTAACCGCCATGTGCTACATGGGAAATGCAAACAAAGCATACGAGTTACAGTCAAGGTTACATTTGTGCCGGTTTAATCAGGGGAGGTCTATGAGTTCTTCCTACGCTGTCCTTCTTAATGGTAACACACACTTTCACTCTCAAAAATGTCCTGGTTTGGATGGTAAAATGCACAGTCAGCCTGGCTACAGAACTTTACATCCAAGTGTTATTATTAGGGATAGGTGGTCTTACAAGACTTTTGGAAAAGTCTGGTCCTAAGCTGGACTTTGAAAAATGACTAAGAACAGTAGAATGAATATTAAGCTATCTTCTAAACAGATAAACATTTCGATTGTGTGGCTCTGGAATATCTCCCAAACATCTGTGTATTAAACCCAAGCTTGGTGCTATTGAGAGATGTTGGGTGTCTTAACATGTAGAGCCCAGTGCGATGTTTTAGTTACAATGAGTGTGTTCTCAAAGGGGACGGTGGGACTGTGGTCTCTTTCTTTCTTTTTCACTTTCTGCCCTGCTACCTGCCTCTGCCATAATGTGCTATATCTCAGCACAAGTTGAAAAGCAATCGGGCCAAGCATTCACGGACTGAAACCTTTGAAAACCAGGAGCCAAAATAAAACTCTTCACCTTATAACTATCTCAGGTATTTGTTACAGTAATGGAAAAACGGCTAACGCAAATGGCATGGAAAAAAACACCACAGCAGCAGCATATTTGAGTTAGGAGGCGGAAGGGAATATGCTGGTTTGTCTCTGGTAATGGCTACTTAATAGAGGCAAACAGGGTGCATAATCTATCAGGGTATCTTCCAGATAGCATAAAACTTGTGAGACGGTGAAAAGAATTCTGAGAGTGCCCTGAGGGTACTAAGAAGGCCCCTAAGCATCACTTTGTCACCATCACACCTCTACCTGGAGCTCAGGGACAAGGTTGGGGCATGCAAAGTAACATTCCAGAAAGGTCAAGCAGCACTCTACAAAGGAGACTGGAATGCAAGCCACCTAGAATAAGAAGAGGATCCTATAGGAGTGTGATGCAGAAAAGGTCTAAACAAGATCAATGTGGACTCAAGGAAGGGAAAGTCAGGAGAAAAGCATGCAGGCAGAGCACCGAACGGTTAAAGTCAAAGAAGGAAGGGAACTGGAAATTAACTAACCTTTTCTCTGGACATGAGACTGAGGGAATCTTCCACAAGAGCTTGGAAGTGGATGGGGTAGTGTGTCTGGTAGAAATTTAGGTATCTTGAATTTAAAAGCGGCATGTTTGAGTAGATGTTTAGCAGGTAACTGTACATGGATGGCTACACCTTAGGAGCGTTAAGGGCCACCAGGCAGTCATCAGGGCCTCCTCTGATGAGTACAGAGGAAAAATCCCTGAGGCATTGACCTCCCCTATTACACAGGCCACTGGAACTCAAGGAAGGCAAAGAACAAGGTGAACATAATTTAGGTAAGGAGTATGGGGGACAGAAATAGAGAAAGAACGAGCTGGTATGGAAAAACTGTAGCTGAAAATAGATTTCTACATGCCACCTCTAGTTTACATGCCACCACCTTGAATTAGAGGTCACAGAACCCATAGTCTGACCAGGACAGGCATTATCATCTCGGCAGAAAAGCTATGTTGTCTTTACCCTGTGCTCTGTGTTTAAATTGTCACTTTAATGGCAATACAAAAAGCAGCAACAGGTCTGAAAGTGCTAGTTTTAAAATGAAGTGACTGAAAAATCAAAAAATAGGGCTGGGGATTTAGCTCAGCAGCATAAGCACCTGCCTTGCAAAAGCAGGCGGTCGTGAGTTCGATTCCCGGTAACGATAAAAAAAAAAAAAATCAATAAATACAGGAGCTGAGGACATACAGCTACATGAAACACAGAAAAATTCTTTAGAGCAAAGGACAATAAATGCAGAACCCAAAACACAGTAAGATGAATCTATATCAACACAAGTTAGTTACACCAAACTGAAAGAGTGAGTGACAAATGACAGTGAACTTGACGGAGTATTCTTAGACAGGGAGCTTTTTCCAGTAAAGTGCTGAGAGGACAGCTGCCTGTAGTTTAGTCTGAGGTGACAAAAATACTTCAACCAACTGTTTGTGCAGGCTCAAGGAAGATAGCTAGCTTCTGAGTCCCACTTTCTCTTAATGTGAAATAAACGGTGAATTTCTTGCTAACCATAGCACCAACTGAATCTGTGGAGCACTCATAAATTATGATAATGGAGAAAACTCCCAGGAGATCCATGCACTAAATCAAACAGTCAACATGCAATTCTGAGAAGGTTAACATCTGGAGATCAGCAATCAGGCCCTTTGTGTTTACCCAGTGGAATCCTACCTGTCAGGACTAATCACTTCTACATCACCTCCTCTATTGTGTCTCTAGTACTAAACCCCTGGCTTATGAGAGTAGTAATAATAATAAAACTAAATTAGAAAGATTACACATGGACTTTTTATCTTCTGTTTTTCTCAGGAATTTGGTCCCAATGATGAAACGCTGACCAACAGACACAGTGACAACCATCAAGACTTGGAGCTGTAAGAGCTGAAGACTGTGTGAGACCACCCATGCTGGCCATACCAAAGCTAGGCTACACTTTCTGCACTATGACACTCCTAGGAGAGAGCTCAGTTCCCCTCATCCTCTGTAACTGCAAGGAGCTGCTGCAGACACAACATTTTACACATCTGAGGAACCACTACAGCTCACCCCACTGGGTGGGTGTTCTGCCAAGGCTTAATAATTCACTGATACTCAGAAACCTGTTCCACCACTTTCCCTAAGACAATGACAGTAGTATCCTGCTGAGATATAGCACAATACCTCATTCAAGAAAAGGACAGTCTAGCTCAGAGCATTCAAGCCTAGGAGCAACGTGTTTTAAAAAACAAAAACTATGAACTTCTTGGCCTTGGGGTGTAGCTCAGTGATAGAAGCAGAGCACTTGCCTAGCATACAAGAGGCCCCAGCACCAAAAATAAAACCAACTATGGGATTCTTGATAAAACTGCTCCATCCACTGATGGTAGGAAATCGTAGTATAGTCAGATCCCATCAAAGAGCTAATCAAGGCTAACAAGTCCATGGAGAACTCAAAATGACAGATAATATAAAGAACAATCGTAATTGACTGTGACAGGCTCTCATCACTTCACAGTAATAAGATGGGAATGTCACTTATGGGGATTGCTTTTTAAAGAGTTTATTGGTAAACTTCTAATTGCCTTTGACAGACATTGGGTGATTCCTTCTGTGACTAATTTCCCTGGTAATTCAGATTGGCCACAGTGAATACTGAAGTCACTTTTGAGGCCACATGTATACCTCTGCAACGTGACAAGCAGTGTAAGGCAAAGAGCCTGGCCTGTCACGTACATAGCATAGGGAAATCCGTACCTACATATGCAGAATCAAAAGCTTCCTCAAACAAAAATACAAAAGACAATAGCTATTATCCCTGATCTTAAGGAACCCTGCCCCTAACAAAGAAGTTGTATTCCAACCCCTAATCCATGACTCTGGTCCTTAGTTAAGCACAGGCTTTGGATTCTCTTACCCTTAGATGCTGGTATGGAAATGCTGAGGAGCGCTCCAGCTATGAGGTGGATGGGTACTGGAAATAAGCAGCTAGCTGATGGTCAGGTTGGAGAGGTTGGACCAGGGAGAGAGGGAGCCCAAAGAGACATGCAGAGCCAGAGAACAGTACTCTGGCATAAGTCAACTCCGAAGAGAAGGCCCTGGTCCATGCTTACATGGGAGCAATCATGATGGTGGAAGATGTAGAAATGAAGAGATGCAACCACAGAAACATCTAGTAGGCTAGACATGACACACCAAGAGGCCAACCGTGATAAAGGAGAAATGGAGAGATGCAACCACAGAAACATCTAGTAGGCTAGACATGACACACCAAGAGGCCAACCGTGATAAAGGGTCACCTGTAAGATGGCAGAGTGACACTCCATGCTGAAATAATCACAGACTCATCTTCTCGCCTTATCTCCCTTACTCAGTTAATCTTCCGCAGCTTTGAGATACCCTGATCTACTTATTTTTAGAGCATGGCTACATTTCTTTTTACCCTAACTCTATATTTCTTTTCATTAGCTCTTGAGACTTCCTGGATAATAGGAGGTGGGAAGAGGTGTGTGTGGAGGCACTAAATCTAATTCAGGAAACACCTGATACGCTGATGTACCTGACCTTGGCCACCTCAGGATACAAATGAAACACAGTAGCCTGCTCTTTTAAAAAGACTTGATTCATTCTGAGAAGTGAAGTGGTATAGTGCAGGAGAATGAGATTTAGAATCTGAGAACTAGAGTCAAATGCTGCCATACACTATCTAATAATCTCATAATCTCAGAAACCACTTAACTTCTTAGACTTAGTGTCATCATCTGTGAAATGGAGCCAGTAATAATGAGCATCTCCACCGATGCCAACAGCATCAGTCAGGAACGAAGCGATTCTCTCACTGCCCCAGTGTTCTGGTATTTCTACCAAGGTGCCTTGCTCATTCCTCCATGGTTTCCTTCCTTCCTGATCTTCCTGAGGTGGCTGTCATAAGTTAAACACAGAAGGGTGAAGGAGGAAAACACCTCTGAAACATATTTAGATCCCAACTTGGAGGGGTTTCCTCAGTGATGACATTACTGAAGTCTGTTAATTCATTTCTTCTGGTTTAGCTAGTTTCCAAGTACATAAGACATGACACATTTTCTTTTGTGGATCTAGACACAGGGAGATGTGCTCATATCTGCCCTACAGCCCTCTTGATAAACACTCCCATAGCTCTTAAGAGCAGGGTGATGCTGCTGATTGGTGTCATAACTATGGGTAGTTCACGACTGGGTCAAGAGAAATAAAGGCACGCAGAAGAAATTAGAAAGCCACACAACTTATTATCAGACAGCAAACAGGGCTCATAACACACACAAAAGTACAAAGGATGACTCATCAAGGTTACTGAAGAGGTCATATGGCCAAAAATGAGAGTACAGGACAATCATGTCAAATACACAGTTGACATTCAAATCACAGATGATATGGCACACAGGGGAACTGCTTGAATCAACAAAGAATGTTCTCTAAGTGCACCAAGCAGCTGACTTTTGAAGGACATATACTACTAGCAACTCAAGGTTCCACAAAGATACTCAGACAGGGTAGAAAGCCAACAAGGAGGTATTTTTCCAGACTTTAATTATCCTTATCTTCAACTATGCTTACTTAGTACATATACATGTTTCTTGATTGGCTATCTACAACTATTAAGCCACCAGTTCCTGAGCAGAAAAAAATGATTTTCCAGATACAGTTTTTCCCCACAAAACTAAAAGCTATTATAATCCACTAAACTCTTTTGTACTTCTCGATAAAGACTCTTAATTCATACAATGTGCAACTTTTGCTGACCTAGTAGTTATCTCAGAATTAGTTTTTAAATATGTGACTATAGCTTGGGAAATTCTGGAGTCTTAATTATAACATTAAAATACTTACTGACAAGGTGAGTTGGATTTCTTTATGATTGTAGTTTTTGGAAATCCTTTTCTTCAAAGCTTTCACTGCATCTTTTGGCCTATGGCAATAAATAAACTGAAATCAAAAATCCAAGCACACAAGCAATCTCTCTGAAAAACAATGTGCTTTGTATAAAGAGGAATGGCTAAGGAGCATAAGACAAAGGATTTAGCTCAGCAGCATAAGCGATCACCAGTACCAAAAAAAAACAAGACCTTAGCTCTACTGTGGCATAGCTGGGTCACTTAGCTTCTTCTATCTAAGTCCCCTCATGAATATAAGCAGACAATAATACCTACCCAGTCGCAAAATCCAACTAAACATTTACATATGACTATTAGCTAGAGAGCAATACCCATGAAGGGTGCTTACCCCTGCCTCCCTCGATGAATGCACACAACAAATTTGCAGTGAATGCAACCCAAACCAATGAAGGAGATCACCTTAATTAAGACTATTAGTATTTCCTGAGTAAGCTAAAGGCCTGGGAATATAAGAAGAATTACAAGTTGAGTTTCTAAAAGGCTACAAAAGAAAAAATGATAAGTAGTGGTTATCATAAGATTTCTTTTTTGCATCATCAATAAAGAAATGGGAATTATTAGTGAAAATGTTCAGAGGATCTAAAGACAGGAAACAAGATTACAGAGAAAAGGTATAAATACTTAAAAGTGCTAACTATAGCACTTTTCACTGACATTTAATCAATAATTAAGTTGCAATATTTTCTTCATTAACATAAACTAGGCTGAATCTTTTAGTGTCGGTCATCGCTTTAACATGTACAGAAAAAATAACAGAAGTGTGTCCTTTATCCGGACCTGTAGTTTTCTAATGGCAGACTAGCAGGACTTCTACTGACTTTTTTTTTTAAATAACTTCAGTTTGGGGCTGGGGATTTAGCTCAGTGACATAAGTGCCTGCCTTGCAAGCAGGCAGTTGTGAGTTCCATCCCTGGTACCGATAAAAAGGAAAAAGACAAAAAAAAAAAAAAAAAAAAAATTTAGTTCTCTGAAATTTAAAAAGTGTATCACAAGATTGCACATCACTTAAGAATATGGCATGGACATGGGTGCGTTAGCACGTAAAAAGAAAGAAAAGACTGCTTTAAAATAAAGATGATTGTCTCCAGTAGGGGTCAACGAGCTTCAGGATAATATTTTTTCAGTTACATAAACTGTTGGCAATCAGAGGAAGAAAAACCCTAAAGAAGGAAACAAGCTATCTTTCTTTTTCCCCTTAATCTTTTAAAAACAAAGAACTCCAGCCTCACAGAGAGAAAATTTGAAACTTATTAAAGAAAAGGCAGAGAAGAAGATAAGTCATATGGCGGAGCAGGCAGCTGCCCTAACCTGGAACCTTCTATAGGTAGCAGATGGCTGTGGGATGATGAAAACAATCTTTCAACAAGAAAACCAAAGAGTTTGCAGGAGAAAACATGATGTAGGCTGATGTTTCTTATCAGGGACAAATACACGGAGGCCACACTGGACTTACCCATCCTGCGTAGTGTTAATTATATCGCAGATATGCATGAATTGACCCCAGTCTTCAGTCTGAGCACCAGCAAATGTAGCTTTTTCTGCAAAGCAAAAACTTCTTGGTTAAATCTGAGCTACAACAGAATAATAATGACAATAATAAAAGTCTGGTCTCTCTGAAACAATCTACCTCAGATGTAGCAGCAACTAACATCATGTCCCAAAGGGCAATTTTTTTTTTTCTTGAACTATTCCCAGCTATTGAGGAATCAATCAGAACTCATGTTCAGAGAGCTGCTTTTGCAAAAGTAATGAGTGACCTATTAATAAAGACTGCAAACACAACACCTGGTCACTGGGCTGAGCAGGCTGGCCAAATCACCATCTGTCCATCTTTCAGAAAACGGAAGTATAGAGTAGCCACCTACTAGATGAACTGAACAGTACTAAGTATTTATCTTCTGCAGTCCCACTGAACCCGCTGTTAGAAGTGCTGACCCAAAAACAAGAGGTGAAAGGAACTTCTCAAGGTTCCATCATCGGTAGGAGGTAGAACCTGAGTTCAAATGCAATGCTTGATCCCAGTATCTGCTTTTAAAAATTATTTATTGAGAAAGGGCGAGAAAAAGGAAGTGGTCTCTTCTGTTATCTATATCAACCAAAGCTACACCAGGCAGCCTTGCATGTTCTTACACCTGGAAATCTATTATTAAATAATCCTATATTCCACCTTCCAGATGTGCTCTTTAATAATACAAAGTACTACTGCAAAGAATAATAATACAATCCCAACATTAGTGAAAGCTTATCTTCCAGTAAAAAGGGAGATCTCTATCCATGCAAACACAGGGTCCTGGGAATGAAAATAAAATAATGAAAAAGATTAGGGAACGGTAAGGCAGAATAGGGCTCGGTGTGCAGGAGCCCCAAAGTTCAGCTTGCTTTTCCCATGGAGGAAAGGAGCTACTGAGTTTGGCACAGGGTGGAACAGAGCTGACAACAGGTGGGGTAGGCACCAGTTGGTTCTACCTGCCAGGTGTTCCTTGTTCTTTCCTCCCCTCTCTCATCTTCCTGGAAAGCCAGTCACCCTCCCAATACCACAGCAGAGCCCCCCCCCCTCCCCTTTTCCTGGGTTCTGTGTTTTACATTTCTCTTGTACTACTGGAAAGGTTTTGCAGAGTATTCACTACAACACTTGGTGTTTGTCTTCCCTGTAAGAAGAGTTCCTTCCCTGAAGTTTGAGGCCATGGTTTACCTTTGTCTGGTGGGGGGGGGGACAGCGGGTGCAGGTGGTGGTGGTGTTGGTGCCCACTCCAGGTTCAGAGCTGTATATAGCTGGCAGTTAGCAAATGTTTTCAGAATTAAAGAATCAGACACAGTGCTGGCACTTCTGTGACCTTCGGCAATTTAGTTTGAACCTGGTTATGCTCAGGCTTCCTTCTAATATTCAGCAACCAACAAAGGTATTCTAATATCCGGTATCCAAAAACTAATCAGTCTATGGACTGTTAAGAAAGCACTTATCTCTCTACTCCCCATTCTACAAGGATGTGGAAGTTCTGGTTCTGCCTCACACAGTTGTTAACCTATTCAGAGCCTCCTACCTACTAACAACCGTCAGCAGCCCCGGTCTCAGCGCCCCACTGAGCTCCCAGTTTGTCCGGCATTAGTAAGCACTGGGGCCACACCCAGTTCCCAAGGGTAAACCAGGGAAAAGACAAGAGGAAAGAGTTACGTTAAGTTACGTTACTACCTTCTGCCTGCGTGATTCAGAATACTCCACAGGCAAGAGAAACGAGTTCGGGCGATGCCCGCTGGTCCCTAGGCCTCTGTGACCCCGTGGCACCTCTACTCCCCGCATCTTCACTCCCAACCAAACATTTTCATTCTCTTCTTTTACACAGAAATGCAATGGAGGTTGCCCCCCAAAAATCTGGTTTGGAACCTCATAAGTCACATCAATAAATTCCACCGAGCCTCTTTTCCTCATCTGTAAAATGGGCATAACAGCAAAAACAACGCATTTGATGAAGGACCTAACCTTGGCCAGAAGTTTCCTAGCGTCTCTGTCTCTGTCTCTCTCGCTGGCAGCGGTGGAAACACCCACGCCCGCGTGCTGCGGGTCACCTGTTTGGTTCCCCTCCCCAGGAGGCACGGACAGGGCGATGCATTTTGAGAAGGGGGTCCTAGAGTAGGACCCTCTAGCAGACGTGAGAGCCGGGGCCGATGGAAGGCGGGCGCTCCGGGGAAGTGCAAGGGGAAGGGGGCCGATTTGCTCCAACTTGGTCCAACTCCGTCCCCCCCGCAGGCCGCGCACCGATCCCTCGGGAAGGGCCCCGCGGTCCCCGGAGCCTCGGCGGCGTCTCGCCCGCGTGTCTTACCCACGAGGTGGCCCACGGAGGTCGCGTAGGGGTCGCGGTGGCCCTTCCCAAACGCCATGGTATCCAGGCGGCCGGGCCCAGGAAATCCGCCTCCGCCGCCGCCTCCCGGCTCCACCCGCTCCGGGCTCCTCCTCCCGCTCCAGCGGAGGTGGCGCGCCGTGCGCCCGCGCCCCGGACCCGAGCCCGGCGCCTGCAGCCAGGGTGCTCCCGGCGCCCCTTCCGCTGCCCCGTGCGGAACTCGACGATGGGTCAGTGACACGAACCGGGACGACGCGGGAATTCGGGAGGACGTGAACCGCTTAGGGCAGAGTCAGGCACCTGCAGACTGTTCACCCCGGGTGACCCCACGGGGCAAAGGGAGAGAGATCCCCGGAGATCGGGGAGCCCGGCGGCCGCGGGGCCCCCTCAGCTGCGGGTGGCAGGGAGGACCCGCCGCTGCAGGGCCCGCACTTTGTCCCCCGCGGCTCCCCGGGGACCCCCCTCCCCTGGGACGCCTCCCGGGGACCCCCCCCTCGCCGGGCGCCGCCGGGGCGCTCGCTCTGTCGCCGTCTCCTAGGAGCAGCGTTGTCCGGCTGGGTGGTGAAAGAGGAGAGGGGCTTCCCTGGGGCTCCCCCAAGGCCCTTTGAAATGTAAATCCCAATTGGAGAAGCCCAGCCCCCTTCCAGGCGCCCACAGTTTCCAGAACCAAAACGTGCCTCTTTCTCCTCTGCCTTCAGTCACATCGAATTAGCCCTGTTAACCAGGTCCTGGAGCTCGCTATAAAGTGGGGGGTCTGCAGGCAAATGGGATCCCCCAGCCTGTAGGTCAAGCTTCCCGCGGTAAACTGGAACCCGGTTCCACAGTCTGTTTTTTTGCCTCTGGAGATGGCAACCAAGACAAGCAAAGGGGACCTGATCGGACTTAATGGGCTCGGTCTTATTTGTCTTAAAGGAGAAGTCAAACCGATTGCCCAGTGCTCTCAGGGGGCTAATGTTTTTAATTCTAGTTTCAATTTTTTGTCAAGAAGGGCTCAATACCTGAGATACTAAAGTCCAGAATGAAGCATCCTTTTTCTGCTACCTGGTATTTCTCATGATGAGATCAGTCCTACCTGTAACTAAAATTCCCTGCTCCCAGCTGTTTAATCTGAGATGAGCAGTGATTTCAGCACCAGCGGTCAGCTTCCACAGCCTCAAAAACCTCTTTTATGACATTAGCCTAATCTGTACTTCATGCTATAGCCGCTTAAAAAAGTATTTTTCCTTCTCTGTGCCCCATAATTGAGGAATCTTAAGGAGGAAGTCGGTTTTAGCTTGGCTCTGATATAGGGGAAAGAAACTCACAACCTGCTAGATGTCCCATAGGAGTTTGCTCTCTAAAATTGAAGAATGAATTTTAGGAACAAAGGAGGTTAAGAACAGAATATATTTACTGAGAGAAAGAAAGTTTCTGTCTGAGAGAGGGACAGAAGGGTCCAGAGTTGGTTGCAAAAAACTGTCTTTTCTAGGGACTTTCATACAGCAAAACCGGGAATTGGCAAGATGGGTGTAAGGTGGGACAGAACCACGGTCAACCAATAAGGTTAATTTCTCAGGAAAAATGGACTAAATTGGCACAAATAGGGAAGCCAGTCATGTAACAAGCCGGGGTGCATACAGAGCAGTGACTTCCGGTAGGGGTTGGGAGAGGGCCAGAAGGGGTCCAGAGTTGGCTTCCTCAAGGTGATAGAGACTTATTTAGAATACCAGTCCTTAGGATGTGGGTGGATCTGCTTGATCTTTTGTCATGAGGCCTGGCCCACAGTGGGAGGTCCTCTATCTCCGCCCAGGTTGCAAGGTATCTTGGCTTCTGCACTGGCTCATTCTAGGACTTAACCCTGTCTGTTGCCTGTGTTTCTAACTCAGTTGCCTGTAACAGCCCCTTCCCTCAGCGAATGAGAAATGGGAACAATGTTTTATTTTTTGTTTTTCATTGCTATTTCATTGCAGAATGGGATAATCAGCAGCAGCAGGGAGCACATTTTGAACAGGAGGGCTGGGAAAGCAGCACCAACACTGATGAGTGTTGCCTGTCTCACCTATGTGTTGGACAGGTGCTTTTATGTAGAAATATTATAGGCACTCAGACAAGGCGAGGCACTCAGTGCAGAGAATGGTTTTAGTTTACGCCTGTGGCTGGGGGCACATCTGTCAAAGATCAGGCCTACGTGCCCCCCTGAGGGATAGATGAGAACTTCACATTGTACTATAACTGGTATCATGTGGTCCAGTAAAGTCCAGATGGACATTAGTCACTCTGGCGGTGACCATTCTTTCCCAAAACTGACTCTGTTCTATCCTACCCTTGCTAAGTGACCTGCTTCCCTGTTGGATCAACATTACCTCAGTGATTGTACTTATAGTCTTATTGGTTGACTATAGTTTGACCCATCTTGTACCTACCTCATGATTTTGTACCCTCTTGATGACTTTGCTCTATTATTGTAGGAAAATTCCCAAGCCAAGCCAAGCCAAACCAAACCAAAATGAAAGGAAGACTCTTTGCACTAAGGAGATAAGAAATCAGCATTTAATCTTTACACCAGCTGACTGTTGGATCTTCACAACCAACGGTGGACTATTGCAGGATAATTCCTCAATGACAATGGCATTGATTTTAGGAAGAGTTTATACAGAATTTAGAAGTGGGAGGTAAAAAGCAAGTGACAAAACATTATATAATTTGCTACATACATTGAGTCATATACTGACAGGCAGGCTAAACTTGAAACAAAGGAATTGTTTATCATAATATAGAAACACTGGGAGAAAAAGAGAGGGGGCCCTTACAAAGTGAGCATAAAGTTATTACCATAACGAGGGGAGGGGTCCTTGAATTAACCCAGGGTGCCTTAAGGTATAGACCATTACTCTGACTGGGTGCTCTTCAGAGGATGCAGCTGGGCTGTAGACACTGTCAAGGTCTACTGAATCCAGCAGAAACAGCAGAACAGAAACTTGGTCAGAGATGTTTAACTGATCGTGAAATATCTATGTTTGCTATCTTATGAATGTATTCTTACATTATATTTGTGCCCCAACACTGTAAAACATTCTTAGCGAAGTGGCCTCTGTGGCAAAACACTTTTAGGTCCTGTGTCTCAGATCTCTCTCTCTCTCTCTTTCTATCTCTCTCTCTCTTTCTCTCTCTCTTTTTCCTACTCTTAACCTGTATTGTTCCTTAGAATTCATTCTTTGATTTGGGGGGAAACAAACCCTATTATTTAGCAGGTCAAGAGTTATATTTGTATCACTTTCATCTCTCCCTGTGTCCTCTAGTGTCTTATGACTGCTGCCCCTTTCTCCATGATCCCCTTCAGCCCTAAATGTGAAGATTAACCGAGTCATTGTTAGTGTGGTCTGGAAGCAGAAGAACAGAACTCACAGCCAAGTTAACTTCAGAGAAGGAGCAGAAACCTTGACAAGAACAGAGGTGAAATGAATGGATGTCAGGAGCAAAAGCTTATCATCTCTATCCCAACAGCAGCATTTAGGAACCATTGATTTGTAAGTCATAATGCCAACATGAAACCAACAAAAGAACTTTGAGTTAAAATGTGCTCAGGGTCTCAAGCAGTAACAATTTAATCTATGCAATCTTGGGAGGTTAGGGAGCATCAACTTCATTTTTATAAATCCATAATCTGAGATGCAAAAAGAAAAAGCTAGTGCCTTGATTAGCATTTAGATTATAATTGTCTCATTGTATAGCCTGTTTTGATTTTTAACCTGTTACACTGTAGCCCAAAATGTGCTGTCATCTTGTTCTATTCTTGCCTATGCCCTAGTTATTTGCTCTAATTACCTTGTAACTTCCTTTGCTAAGGCAGCTGTTTCTTGCAGCTGATCACCCTGGAGTTACCAACCACAGTGCTGTTAATTAACCAAAGTGCCACCATACTGTTCTGTATGCATCATCACTCTGGGTAACTTGTTTGCTGTGTGTTAACCTTTGTTCCCCTTTTCGAGGGACAATTGTTCCTGGAGACCTTGAGTTACCTATATTCCTCTCAACCTTTGTCCCCGTTTGTGAGAGACAGTTGTCCCAGGAATTAGCTGACCCCAAGTCGCCAAATTCCTGTAAAGAAGCAACCAGCCAATCACCGACTGCAAAACTTCTCCATAAAAACTCTGTCCTCAAGCAAAAAGGGAACAAAAGTCTTCCTCATTTTCCCCCCTCCCATCCTTTGCTTTGCAATTATCTCCTTTATAAACCTGATAAAATTTTAATCTAGTTTCACAGCTTTGCAAACTCCAACTGCACTGTGTCGCTGGTACCAGCTTAAATAAAGTGCTCCTTTTTCTTTTAAAAGACATCTTGCCCTGTTTTTTGGACAACATCTTAAGGTCTCACTTTTGGGGTACAACATAACCGAGGAAATATTTAGATTGTCACAGCCAGACATGGCCTTGGAAATCACCCAGGCTCCATTCCCATCATTTTATGTGTAAAAAAGTGATTCCCAGAGGAGATGGGTAGCTGGCCCACGGCCACCCAGCTGCAGACTAAGCACCTCAGGTACTTTGAGGCCAAAACTCAAGGCACTGCCTCTGAATTCCTTGCTTTAGCCTTTAAATGTTACCTCAACCCTTCCCATAATACTTTTCCTTTCTTATCTTTGCTTTCTGGGTAGATCCAATTCCCACCTTTACCCACTGTCCCTTCCCTAGCTGTCTCACCGGGTAAAGTAGCTTTATTTTTAATATCTGATCTTTAAGTTTATTGGTTCAATTTAGATATATATAATGGTAACATTTATCATAGGGAATTTATAACTGTACACGATGTAACTTGATTCCTCTTTTTTCCCCTTCTCCTTTTCCCTTCCTTCCTTTCCCCTCTCCCTGTCTAGTTCCCTTTCCTTTTGAACAATTTCTTCCTCTATCACAACATCTATCATACACTTGGTGCTTATTCACACTTTTAGTTTTTCACAGCAGAGAGACAATGCCTGATTTACATGTGTGTTTTATTTCACATCAGAGTATGGTCTTTGAGGTTCATGTGCTCAGTTGTAAATATCTTTATCCTTTTTATGACTGAGCATTGCTCCGTTGCATAAAAAACCACATCTTCTTTATCTACTCATCAGTTGATGGGTGTTAGAGTTTTCTGGCCCGATAGAGAACTGAAAAGTACAGAAAAGAAAATAATAGGTTTACTGAGGACATGGAAAGGGGCACACAGCCCATGGCCATGACCTCTGGTTGAAGTGGTACATGGGGCAGATATTGATGACGTGTGAGGAACTGATTGGAATTTTCTTTGTGTGCAAACAGGAAGGGGAGTTGAAATTAGGGTTGAAGAGGAAGGAAGAAGTGGTAAGTGTTCCCGCTTTGACCTTCCACCGTGTTAGACCACTGCCATAATTGTACGGTAATTTGTGTTAGGGGAAGAACTTTTCAATGGGCATTTGGGTTGTACTG